GTTAGCCCCTAGGTATAGTACTAGCTATACTAGTACTTACTAAGCCTTACTAAGAGGGCTACTTCTCCTTTATAGCGGAGTGTAACGAATACTCAAACTGGCTAACTAAACTTGGCTGGGTGTTCGCTGGTTGGTATGCTATGATAAGAAGAAGACTATCGGGTTGTTCACTTGGAAGTGAACTCGTTACTTGTATCAAAGATGTCAAACTAATATGATGAAATTGATAACTAAGTTGAGCACGAAGCTCCTATCTAATGGCAGACGTGCCAGTCTTATATAGAACCTTCGTTCTCTCGATGTTCGCTCGTTCGACAATCGAACTGGCTAACTTCGCCTGTTCGCCCGACTAACTGGCGAACTCCTAATATCACGTGATAACAATACAGTGAAATCCCTGGATCGCTTAGCTACTCCAAACGATCCCTATTTGCTATAAGAAACCTGGATGTGCCTTTCGAGGGTTGCGCCTCTTATTATGACAAGTATCACGTGAACACGTGATTCGTGACACGGAGCCCGAGAAGATTCCTTTTCTCTCCTTTATCGAACTTATTAAATACTATATTAAACCCTCTATATATACGTTAGTCTTCTATAATACTAATATATTATTTAGCTCTTTCTTAAACCTAACTTTTTTAACTCTACCTCTCTATCTACCTATACCTAATCTACTACTGTTTTAGTTCGGTGTCCTCGGGTATAAACAATAGTATTATATAATATATTATTCCGGAAGAAGCTACTTATTAGTATTATATAAATTATTTTAAAACTTTCGTTCCTTATAAAATTAGATTACTAGTAGAAGGACTCCTTTTAGCTAGTTATATAATTTTATTAATCTTAATATATCGTCGTAGAATACTCTTTAAGCTTTATTTAGGGTTAGGTATTTGTCTCTAAAAAAGACGCCAATAATTAATATGTACTACCTAAAACCTTTACTCTAAATTATATATAACGTTATCTTTTAATTGAGACCTTATTAAGTATCTTTTACAGTTAGTGGATATTATACTAGAGAAATTGGACCTAATTAACGTCTATAAATTAACTTTTACGGCGGATTTTAATAAAAGAGACTATAATATAGTATTTAATAATAGAAAGATAAAGTGTGACGGTTCTTACCGCCACCATGCCTCAAACCAGCCCCTGGCTGGCACCCGGCGTGCCCCGTGCTTCCCGAGCCCGGCTCGGTTAGCTATGGCTTGGCACACCTCCGGTATATAAGAGCTTCCAGCTCCTGGGCTTCTGTCCTTTCTTTCTCTTCTCTCTTCAGCTTAGAATCTTCGAATAGACAGTTCTACGATTCCATAACCTACACCTTGGACGCTCCTTGAGCAACACATCGTACGTGTCGTCACATAAAGAGTATAAAGGTTAAAAGTAAATTAAAGGATTATAGAAATATAACGTGGTTTATCAGCGAGTCGATCATATCACCGAGTCGATCACTTTTTCTTGGCACAGAACTTTACACCTAAATAAATCAACCACAATATATTAAATTAATTATCGCTCTCTATATCTGACGAACTAGATATATCTATAACTTCTTGACAAGTTCGCGCGTTATGACCAGCTTTTCCACAAGTTCTACAGCGCCGCCTAGAAGGTTGCCCCTCCTTATAACCAACCCCCGCCTCACGCATGTCGCGTCGTACTTGCTCATCTACATCCTCCTGAGCTAACATATCCTGTACATCCTCTACTATAAGTGCCCCTCCTTGGCGGACACGAGTCTTTTTAGCCCTACGGCGTTTACTTAGGGCTTCATTTGCAGCGCGAAGGGTACGGACCTCAGCAGACAAAAGGGTCATCTCATGTGCCATTCGCTCTGTACCCTTTGCTAACGCAGCAACTGTTTGAAAAAGTGGAGTTGGCGAGCTTCCTTGATGACAGGCTATACGATTTCGTACAAGAGTTGATTGTGAAAGGGCTTCAGTTGGGTTGGAAGGGGTCTGGGACACCCAGGGGAGGGAGTTGGCACTACACGTCCGAGGGGGAGTTGGAGTCCGTAACCTTACGTCAAGCTTTGAAAGCACTGCTTGCGGGTTAAATGGTACTAGGCCAGCTCCGCGGAATCCAGACTGACAGTTTAGGACTGTCATTGTTTCCTTGTATGCTGCTGTAAAGGCTAGAAAGAACTCAACCTTTGTAATATGGTTGATATGGGCCTTGATAAACGTCTCAATCTGCCGACCATACGCTCGTTTTAACACACTATAGCACCCAACATCAAGTGGCTGGGTTAGATGGGATGAATGAGGAGGTAGTCCAAGAGTAATAATGTTGTGTTTCGTACAGTAGTCTTGGAACTCAGCCGATTCATGACTCTCGTGCCCATCCAAAACTAGTATTCGATACAGACCCTTTGCACGAGCTGTAGTGTGTTTATCAAAGTGCTTTAACCATTCCAGGCCTGTTTCATTATTTGTCCAACCATTGCTTGTCGGTTTCATAACCCAGTTAGGTGGGAGGCCGCCGTCGGTATACCAGTTGGAGAGATGGTTCTTGCCCTGAACTACCAAGAATGGAGGAATACTCCAGCCCTCCCCATTAATACAGGCAATTGCTGTAGCCCATTCCCGATTGCCTGGCTGAACTGCCTTGCCTCTACCACGTCGGTCTGCACGAGTAACAACCATTCTAGGACAAATAACACCCATCATAAAGCCTGTCTCGTCGAAGTTGTAGAAGTCGGAGTCTGTAACCCCATATTTCGCCCTCATATTCTCTACTAGCCGGAACCATGCGCCTAGCACGTCAGGATCTTCGCATAAGGCCCTCTGGAAGTCGTAAACGCGATTAAAACGCGTCTTAAGGTCTGGTTGTCGTTGTACGAATCGATGGGCCCAGAGCTTGCCGACGCGTCTTCCCCCCCGCGATTCAAGGATAAAATTAGCCATATCTTCTACACCAGCGAGCCGGGGCGCAAATCCTCTGGAATCCATATCCAGTATATACCGAACAATCACTTCCTCTTCTAACTCAGTCAACTTATGACAATTGGCTTGAGAATCTGGGCGGTAATTTCGGCCAGCCATTCTGTCGGAAAGAGTCGTATATGGTACATTGTAGATCTTTGCCGCAGAGCGTTTGCTTAGTTTTTTGGACGACCGAATAGCCTCGATAGCTAGAGTAATTCGCGCTTCTTGAGTTTGAATTTCCATGGTAAATAGTTGAAGAAAACGTGTGTTGAAGTTTGAGGAGGTAGTGCCAAGGAAAAGTGATCGACTCGCTGATATGATCGACTCGCTGATAAACCACGTTATATATTTATAATTAGTCCTCTGAAATTATAGTAGGAGTTACTTTTATCTATCTAATAGCTTACCTTAATTGTTATTATCTACTACTTAAACTCTGCCTACTCCCTGTGCTTATACCGGTCCTGCTATAGTACTAAATGCTCCTCCTAGGTTGTTTATAATAGCTATAATCCTTACTTACGATTCCTATCTTAATAACGCTATTTTTATATTATATTCCTCTAATCGTAGACATTACTCTAATAATAATTAACCTTATAATACCTGTTAAATTAGTAGTAATTAGTTGTTCTGTTATTATCTTCATAGTAGTAGTAGAAGTAAGCTACCGAACCAGAGCCTGTTTATTATAGAGCTAATATATTATTAAATTATTAATTAAACGTTGAATAAGAGTATGCTTTTAATTTCAACGTAAGGACTAGCCTTTTAATAAGAAACTACTCTTTGTAAGCTTATAACAACAATTAGTAGATATATTGTTGTTATAGATAAGTGATCGAATAGATTAAACGATATATACAAGCTTTCTTAGTCACCCTCGATACGCAAAACACATCCGATAGTTTCAAATGGGAAGAACTATACTGTTTACGTACAAGCTGCGGAGGGGCGTGTAGAGTAGGGGAGAGATTTGGTATGAGTGTGAAAGTTGTTCTTTGAGCTTTGGGGACTGTATTTTAAGTTGAAGCATTTTATATTTGGTGACTTACGGCAACGGGAAGATGGAAAATGACCCCCTACAGGCAACTGTGCGGACGTACTTATAATCACAAAGTGCTGGATAAAGAGGCTATATTGGTCTTTATTTGGAAAGTTCAGGTTGAAATGTAACATCTAAATACTATGAAAGACCATGCGTCTAGATCACAACGTGCTCGCTTATTGCTCTAGAGCTCATAGAGCTTCACTATCTCGTGATTCTTCCCTTCTCATCCCGCCATAAACGTACCTAACACTGTCTCTCACACCTCGCTCACACCTCGCTTTGTGGCTTTTTTCCACCTCAGCCGCCGCACGGATCATTCCGCTTTCTTTGGCGCATACGGCTCCTCAATTTCTCTTATTATACTCTCATCCACACTCTGATCGTACTCAAAGTTTGAATAATGCACCGGAAATGAGTCCTCGAGCATGGTTAGCTGAGCCTCCAACACTCTAACCTCGTCTTCCATATCCAAGCGGGTGCGTCTCATTCTCTCATGGGCCCCTCCAACGGCTCGAATACTTTTGATTGTTGCGTTCAATGTTGCAATCTTCTCCTTGACTTGAGGAACCATGAGGTCATGAGCAGTTTTTGTCGTTTGCCACTCTCGTGAACGTTTCAATATAATAATGCGGATCTGTCGCACCTCGTCTCCGTCACTCAGATTTGCCCTAACAACTTTCATATGCTCTTCAAATGCGTAGTCAGTATATGGACCGGCTCTCGTGGAACTACCTTCAGTGTATTGTGAATTAGAAGGAGTAGCTCTTGGATATCCCCGTTGACTGGACTGGGAAGATGATGGTGTAGTTCTTCGAGAGTCAGTTGTCGGATTTTGTGGGCGTGGACGGGTCGTATTATGCGAGGTTTGAAGATCATATTCTCTCCGCTTACTTGCATCTTTGAGAATATCGTAAGCTGCTCCTAACTATAGATGAAAAAACTATTAGCAAGTCGAAATTATGTTGGAAACTCATTAGAAAGATGATATTACCGCTTGAAAAGCTGCTGTGGCGGCTTGAGGATTGCCTGGTTTCTTATCAGGATGGCGTAAACGTGCCAAACGCTTGTAAGATCGAGTTATTTGGTTTTGAGTTGCATTACGCGATACCTCAAGAGTCTTGTAAAGATCCTCTTGAATTTGTTGTGTGGACATGGCGAATATTGGTGTGGCTGACTTTGGGTGGTAATAGCTGATGCGTACTGATGAGGTTTGGTTGATGTGGAAGTATGATGCAGCTTGTTGGCATTCATATATTTAGCTTGTACATAAGGCGCCTTACAGTATTTGAGGCTGTAAAATGGTCTGCTATCACAGAAAATGTGCAGATTGACTTTCACTGTATATAAATGTAAGACATCACTCATATGAAAAGTGAATTTGATGGGAGTATGTTACTACTTTATACCCCCTATGGCTCCCTCCCCATTGACATGTAACCATAATTTCTCTGAATAGGGCTTAGGTGTAATGTGATGAGTTTCTTGAACTTTTATTAGTGAATATTTCAGCCTTGAGCTTGGACGACCTTCACCCTTTCACTAATGATTTGAAACTAGATAGGGGACAAGAGACCGTAGAACACATGTTACACACCTTGCCTAATGAAAAAGATTACAAGTTTCACGCGTGATGTGCCCTTGTTTTCCTACTATACCATGTTGAACTTCCACCCCATCCCCTTTTCTACTCTATGGGATCCGTCACGTGATCTTAGTATACCATGAAGTGTTGGTCACAGTCCTAGCCAGTTGTTCTTAGTCCAATTCAGCCCACAATATGTAAGACACTTAATCTATTTATACGGTTCTTCTAATTCCTGGAATACGGAGATATTCCATGTTTTATCTAGATAGGCTCTTGAGCTAAAGATGAAGTAAGAAATTCAATAGTGCTCATGGTAGCGTAGCCTATACTTCTCGTCTAGTATAGACGAGCTGTAATATGCACATACCATAGTATGCTATATCAACATATACGATTTCAACTGCTTCTCCGGCGATCTATTAGAGTAACCTATCTTTTAGCACTTCTCTACTGAGAAACACTACTTACAACATCACCTCATATTAGAGTGTTAACGTAATATACAATGATTATTACACACAACTCACGCAAATAGATCCTACATTATGCAAAATCTTAGCAACATACACAAAACGAAAAGTACAGGTGGAATGCCGCAATAAGGAAACATGTTGGGTAAGCTTGAAACTAGTTGTTAAAATTTAACACATCAAATAAATAGGATTAGCTCTACGACGAAAATAAGATCGCATATTCAACTTTCCCTACGTGGGATCTCTTTAGATATGCACGCGTGCTCAGCAAGCCCAACCACTTGATCCACTTGATGATTGTTAACACCTAATTTAGCCAAAAGAATCTCCAAAACTAGGCCTGACAATTCATCCGATTGTATGTCGGGGTCAAAGTCGCTCCTTCCGTTCCTTGACTTCAAGTCGGCTCCCACATCGGTGCTCGGAAATGGCTTGGCCGTCCCTTTTCTCACGGTAACACAAAGATCCAGCCACCGGGTCATAATTAGAGCATACTAGCTTGCGAAAGATCCGAGAGATGAAGATCGGCAGTTACCGACTTCTTGGTTCTTCTTCGTATACTCGTATACCCGATATCTTGTCGTTTATGAAAGTCGAGTGTTTACTTTCCTTTGCGAAAGCTTTCCTTGATTATATTTCCTTTGGCCGTTCACTTGTGACAAACGACGTCTGAAAACTACAAATGAAAATATGTGCATGTGTGTGGCCCGGAGGAAGGCATCTCTGGATGTAGTAACCCGACTCGTGTAAGATTTATCGCATGTAGGCTCGACTACTTTGAAGATATCATTCTAGAAATCTCCAGGCAGCGTAACTGAACAAGTCCACTTGCAATTTTGGTATCTGTCTTTACCAAGAAAGAATAAAAACAACTGACGTACGCAATCAAAACGCTAAACAACATACCCCTTATGTCCTTCTAAACCATAATAAACAACTTCAACCCATCAAATCTCAATCCAACCAAGACCCTGTTGACTCTACTGAGCCCTCGAATCTTCCAGGGTAAGTATCAGTCAACTATTAAATCCAATTGCCCTCAGGTCTCCCATCATTCTTCTTTTCGCCACTGTCATTCCTCTGCAACTTTCCCCTACCAAACTTCCGCCTTAACTCCGCGATCCTCTCCCCAATTCCTTTCCCACTCCGTTTTCTCACTCTGAGCATATAATAAAGCACAACGGTCATGAAGACATTAAATGCAATGAATGCAAACACGATCCCGTAATTTCTCCATCTGGTCGAATACTTGATGTTCACACTTGCCAAATATTGATCCGTGTTTTGAAGACGACAGTATTGACAGTCTGAGAGAGCCTCAGGGTTGTAGATCGAGCCTTTTGCGAAGTCTGCGTAGGGTTGAAGATAGGTGCCGCAGGTTGTGTTGGCTGGTGGTTGCATTATTGCTACTTCAACAGAAGAGCAGCGCATAGTTTTTCTAAAACCGATGTTAGTCTGGTGAATGAAGAGAGGAGAAGGGATAAATACCCTGCCAGACCGGTTGAGGCTATTGATGAGATGAGATCTGAGATGGTGTTTAGCAAGAGATCTTCTAATAGAGTAGTAGTGTGTGAGAACTTACACGTCAACGGTGAGATTCGATACATGAAAATCCAGAAACCAGGTAGAGCATCAGGAGGTTGGAAAACTCCGTTGAAGATCAAAGTCATGGCAAACAACAAGGTGGCAATATTTGCAGCTGTTCCCGCATCGGGTAGAGCAGAAATAATCATCTGAGCGAACGTGCTGGCGAAAATGAAAAATTGGATGATAAGAAGGAGGATAAGTCCTTGACGCTCCGAGGCAGGGATCCCATTATTTGTATAGATGGCGTAGAAATAACCACCGTAAACCAGGATTCCAACAAAGATCTGATACGGAATCTCGACAAGAATGTTTGCTAGTAAAAAGGCCGGCCAGCTGTAAGTTTTTGAAGGACGCTCCCGCACTTCGTAGAGGTCTCGTTGGAGGACGAAGCGTGGCATAATTTGTTGTAGCATGGGATTTACCATTGTCGCAATCATGAAGATTGAAAAGATGACATTTTGTGTTCCCTGGATAGATGAGTTGGCGTGATAGAATGTAAAGCCAATGAATAACGCGGAGATGATACCCAACATCAGTTTTCCCATCACATACTCCGGTGTGCGCCAATATTGTTGGAATACCCGTATAGTGACCGCGATAAATTGTGCGTAGAATGGCATGGCAAACTCCGAGAGTGATCCCGGGTCTGTCGGGGAAGCATTAGGTCCCATTTCATCTTGAATGCGTTGCAATTCTTCCTGGACAGCTAATGCCTCAGGGCTGTGCTTCCAAACTTCATGCCAGTCTCTGGTAGCTTTTCCATTTGGTCCTGCTCCAACGACATTCAACATGTATTCAGCTGGATTCTCGTCATCACCACACTTGTCAGCGCCGTTGGTTTCGAAATATTCCAGAAGCTTTTGGGAGTTCTTTCCAATATCACCAAAGTAGACTGTTCGTCCTCCTTTAGCGAGGAAGAGAAGTCGGCCAAACTCTTGGAACAGAATCGCACTAGGTTGATGAATAGTGGCAAGTACGGCTTGGCCGCTGTCTGCTAACTTTCTCAAGAATGCTACGATGGCCCATGAAGACTGACTGTCGAGTCCAGAGGTAGGTTCATCCAAGAAAAGGAGAAGAGCCGGTTTAGCTGCTAATTCGACACCTATAGTGAGAAGCTTACGCTGTTCCACATTGAGACCTTCACCAGGAATACCGACTACTGCTTCTGCAAAATCTTGCATTGCCAGCATTTTGATGACATCCTCAACATACTCGTACTTTTCTTTCTTGGAAACAGTTTTCGGCTGTCGAAGCTGGGCGGAAAATCGGAGGGCCTCTCGAACAGTAGTAGTCTCTAGATGTAGATCTTGTTGCTGAACATAACCAGTTTTTCGCTGGAAAGACTCATCAAGTGGTTTTCCAGAGACGAACATATCACCGGTGACAACTCCCATAGAAACCCGTTTGGCAAGCACATCAAGAAGGGTTGTTTTTCCTGCACCGGAAACGCCCATGAGAGCCGTAAGCGTGCCAGGCTTTACCCATCCAGACACATTGTCTAAAAGCTTTCGTGGATTTCCCTTAATCTTGATGTCGTAATTTACATTTTTCCATGTGAAAACTTCGGTCTGGGGGGCCAGAGTGCGAACCCTTTGGGCTTCATTTAACTCCGATTGATTTGTGACACTCTGCACAACTCCATTGGCATTCGATTCTTCATCTTTTGTCGACTTCTCGAGGTATTTTGGAGCATGTCCCCGTCTGAATAGTAAAACCTCGGCTGAACTTCCCGCCGTGGAGATAAATTCTGTGGCAGCAAGGTATACCAAATGGAAGAAGATCATAAAAGCAAACATGAATCCGAGGTTTCGCCAGATATGGCTGTAAGAGTATTCGTATGCGGCCATGAGATAATCGTCACCCAAGACAGTGGCTTGTCCTGCGACTGCACCAGCAATGCTACAAACAAATTCATTTCCTTGGGCAATATACTGACCCCCTATCCCAGATTGATTTATTAGCATAGTTCAACTACTCATAGGCCAAGTTCACCTACCTGATGGAACCAATTGTGAGCATACAAATCTTTGTCCGTGGAGTTCATTCACAAACAAGCTTTCGAACGAATAGGCGATTGGGTTAATCCAACTGATCCACTTAAACCACTAGAATCCAATCAGTGCCAATCTCGCAACATATTATGGGAGACCTACAGGCTTCATGAGTGGGCGTGGTACAACATATCCAGTGTAGATAACAATTGCCAATGTTGCGAAACCGGCCATCGCAAGAGCTTGAGTTACCGCTTTGGTACTTGCTGCGATACTTCGATAAATTTGACTCATCGTAAGACTAGACATGAAATTGAACAAAAAGAAGATAAAGAACGGACCAGGTTCTCGTCTTAAACCGGCGAGGAAGTAGAGAATGACATTGAAACCAGTAGCAATGAGAAATTTAATGGGAATGTCTGCTATGACACCTGCCAAAGCCTCGGCGAATGGGTGATAGAATGCGTATGAAGCCTGCTTCTCCACAATTGGTCTTTGAGCATAGAGGGTATTCACTTCGGAGAGGGCAATAAGAGCGCTCAACAGAACGGCGAAAAATATTACACCGCCCTTTTGAAAAAATGCACTTGTGTTATTAGGGGTGCCATAGAAAATCGAACCAATGACCAAGGCCAGTACCATCTGGCTGAAAAGGGTCGTGACGGTCGATGTTCTGTTATTCCTATTTTCGAGTAAGTAAAATCCATGAAGATTTACCTGAGAGGAACTTACCATATTCGTTGATACGCCCGCTGTGTGCAATACTTCACCTGCATTGGTATGCTGATGGTATAAGGTGACTCCGGTCGAACATGATTGGCTTGCATCCCTTTTCTCGATTCTTGAAATTGCTCAAGAGTGTTGATACCACCCATTGGAAACTCGGTCTCCTGATCTTTTATTTCTTGCTGTAGCATTTGATAATGAGCAGACTCTTTCCAGTATCGTTCAAAGTCTGCTGATGTGCGTGGAAGCCTGCCTTCGAACCCTGGCCTTGCTCTACGCTCTGCTGGGTTGGTCACTGAAGTCAAAAAGTCTCCAACTGTCTGTCGTGGTGGACACTCCCAACCCATATCCACGAAGTATTGTTTAGCTGCATTTGCTGGACCAAAGAAAATCTGTTTTCCTTCATAAAGAATGACTGCCTTATCGAATAGATCATATATAGCTTGCGATGCTTGATAAATAGCAACCAGTTGAACTGTGCCACCGATATTGGCTGTCATCCTCAGAGATTTCGTAAATTCCAAAGCAGTGGCAGAGTCCAATCCTCGGGTTGAATTGTCCCAAGCGGCAATTGGAGAGCCTGCAAGTGCCATCTCCGCAATACTAACACGCTTTCTCTCACCACCAGAAACACCTCGGATGAAGTCGTTTCCGACTTTGGTGTTGTAAGTGTGCGTAAGACCAAAGGTTGCCATCACTACCTGCGCCATATGCTTCGCCCATCTCTCTCGATCATATCCATCGACAACCCGTTGCTGGGGTGTACGAGCGCGAGCTGCAAACTCTAGAGTTTCCCCAACAGTCAAGTGAGGAAAATGTTTGTCGACTTCTTGATTATAAACAATCTCTCCCCTAAACTGCTTGATCATTTGCTCTTGCGTAATTCCTGTTGAATCTATTAGCTATGAAAACGAAATGACGAATACTTGACCAACCATTGTAATGAATTTTGGATTGCTCTTTCACATTGAGGCCTTTAAGCTCCCCTGTCAAAGTCTTGAGAAGAGTGGAACAGCCACTTCCGGGTCGGCCCAAAACTACCAGCATTTCGCCGCTTTTAAGAACACCATCAAAGGAACTTAGAATTGTTTTTTCTGAGGCTTTTCCAACTTTCTCACGCGCTCGGATTGGGCCAAGGAGAATATCGCCCATAGTCTTCTGAAGATTGACGTCGGAACCAGACCCACAGACTTTCATATTCTTCCAAACAATGCCTGCACGTCGTTGGACCACATTCTTCTCGTCCGTGAGTTTCATCATCCTAAAAGAAATTTAGCATTTTTCGCTTCAAAGGTACGCCCAATCGAGTCTTACATTCGAACCCATTTATAAACATCAAATTCCGACGAAGAAGGGTCTAAAACTGGGTGGCCGAACTCTAATCCAGCGAGGGTATCTACTCTCGAAACCCTTTTTGAAGATAAGGTGGACATTCTGTTGGCAGATAAAGTCGAAATTCTCCTCGGAGGCATGTTGGACGACCTCTTTGGGGGTGCGTTGGACAGCCTTTTCATGGAGATATCCGACAACCCTCCCAAGGACGCATTAGAAAATCTTTTTGAAGATACATTGCTTCGCGTTTGAGCTAAACCAATCGAATCTTCAAATTGCGAAGCAATCCTGTGCAGTTCAGCTCGATCTCCTGCCGCAATTGGCTCGAATTGTGACTGTCTTGGAGAGGAATAGGTTGGCATCCACTCAAAGGGGTCTTCCGATTCTTCTGGTATTGACATAGATGAGTCGGTGGGTGACGATTCCTGTTCGATTTCTCCTTCAGAATATCCTGGATGAGAGTCATTGGTCAAAATATTTGGGACTCGTTCCGATTGAGGTCCCGTCCTTCCATTTGGCCTGTTCGACGCCATCTCTGCTGATGTGGTCGTCGCCGACGACTCGTTAAGCTTTCGAAACAAAACAAGTGTACACAAAACAAGAATATCAATTTTCTTTTTGATATCAGTTAGTAAAATTGCAAAAAGACCGGTGAATGAATATTGGAAGAAAATGCGGTTGTTTTAAGGAACTATCGAAGCGGACTTCATTCGTTTTCCATGAAACTACAAGGTTGAATACTGTAGTGTAACTACAAGATAATAGAAGAAACATTTCACTGGAGGCGTGAGCACGCAAGTAGCAAGGAATCGGACAATCTAAATATACCGAACTGACCTAAATCCGGTCAAGGGTTATGATGCCGGTGGGATAAGAATAGACGAATAAGCATCGCTGATGACTGAAAGGATTCATGAATATGGCAGCACAGCACCGTTGAGTGCTGCCGATGTAGTAATCATGACTGCAGAGGCGAACTGTAGCTTGCAGAGACCGAATCTTGCATCTACAAAATTGACATAATTATGAGCGGCACATCGGAGGTTCGCTGTCGAGAAGTTGCGATTGTAGTACAAGAGTGAGAGTCAGATGTTCACCATATGCTCCGTCTATTGTCATGCTGGCCACATTTGCCCAAGTTGAAGATAATGGAGGTGTTGATCATGTCAGATAAGGAGAAAAGATGACGAATTTATTTGTCAAAGCTGAATTTGACTGTCGAATTCGTAGAAATATAAAGTATACATACTGTTGTTGAAGCTACTGTAGAACGCTTCACGAGGTGCAATCAAATTTAGGAAGAGCTCGGCTCAGTTGCCCCGAGTTAGCCGACGGGCCGGGCAAGGGATCCGAACCCATGCCGAAGACTGACCTCACACTTTACATTTGACTCCTCATGTTTTTAGATTTTTATCTCGGAGGCTCCGTTTAATCTATTGCTTATCTTCATACATATTCCGTGTGTTACAGTCAATCAGCATTAGCCTGGCTAGGATTCGAGAATCCGGTGGTAATTCAAGGGATCTTCGTGCTACGAAACCGGAACTCCGTCCATTCCAAATATAAAAAACTTGATGAACTGCCGACATTGTTTCCTCCCAGCTCTCGCGATCATATTTCAATTTTCATGGCGTTGGAATAATATCTCTGGAACTGCTGTCATCAATAACATCCCAAAATATCTCCATATCTTGTTTCAACAAGTACTTTTTTGGTTCATACTGTGCTAATTGGTGTTGGGCGGGATTTCAAGAAGAATCGTAAATCCAGGACGAAGGTCGAGGCATCCGGGCACGAGCTTTCATATACCAGACCAAGCAGTACGTCGGATATCCAGAAAACTGGCATTTGATTCAAACTTATTCTTCACGTTGTTGCTTTCCAAACCTGTTTTCGGAAAATGCACAAGACAAAACCCTTCGCTAGCTATACGTCCTCATCTACCCATCGCTATTCCATCATTTTCGTCTCCATCAATTCCTTGTTTCCTATCCACTTCTCTGCTTAAGCTTAACCCCACTCCTCCAAACACCACTCCAATTTTGTACCACCGGAACATTGGATATGCGGGTAGATCTATAATTGAACGCAATGAGAGAAGCTGTACCCCTGAGGGCGAAAAATAAGCTTATTAGTCAACCATACGAACCCCAAAGTCTCGGATTTGATACATTACGGAGATGCTAACTGCAGTAGATTACTGCGTTATATCGGGGAAACCAAGCTTAGCACAGCAGTTTTCGATATTTGAGTTATCATGACACCTTTTAATAATGAATCCGGAAGTCAAAAATCCCCATGACTTTTGGGTTCTATTTCTGTTATATTAGTATAGCTCGGTTAACTAGCCTCACGGCTTGGCTGTTATTACTTATACAAGGTAGATCTATCTGATTAAGTGGTCTAAGATACGATTCTAACATTAATCACTCTTTCCTTATATAATCTGGGCCACTTATTTGCATGCTATCTTTCTATTGTTCACATTTTAGCTGTGTCATAAATGGTAGGGAACAGAGAGTTAATGGTACCTAAGCAGTTGAGTAAGTCTCGAAAGAAAAGACAAAGAAAAGACTCCTAGGAATCATAAGGAGACCCCGAAATTTACTTATTACATCGGGATAATTTATTACACGGTTTAAAAAACTAGGTATTCTGTTACGGAAATTAAGATCACGTTTATATCACGTGAACGGAGGCTTTTCTCCTATCCATCTATAGCAGAATTTATCCTCGCCTATTTTAAGCTCTCAAGATACTATTACAATCTACTCTGTGTGCCGCACATTTCCACTGGTGATAAAATAAGCCATCTCATAGATATCAGGCGTATTGGATATTTCACCTCCAGCCACACTTTCAGCCACAACCTCCGTTCTCCCTTCGTCCTGCAAGTAGAAAATTAAGTTTCTTAATCACCAACATGATCACGTCAAATCAACCCTATGAAGATTATCAAAAGCTCGCAAGCGCAAGAAAATGTAAGATCGCTCTTCTGCGAGATTTTGGTTATTATGGCATCAATGACCCCACAGTCCGGGGTTCCTCTCATCTCGAAGAGAGCTTTCTATGGATTATTTTTGTTTGCTGGAGGTCTACTTGTAGAGAGAAGTTCAAGTACACATGGTGATCAACTGTAGGATAAACGAGTTGTTTCTTGACCACAAACGGTCACTCCGGGCCATGGCAAGCACCATGCTTTGGCTCAGAACAATAAAGTTTGATCCACGACACAGAGTTGTGAGACACGGCATTTTCTACTCGAATGCCGTAGGGAGATTTATGAAGTATAAACTCACAGAAAAAAAGTAACTGAGCACTTCTCAGCTTCCGTAAATACAGTCTTGGGAAATATCGCCTGAAATCCGCACCTTCAGGTCGTGTGGAAAGCGTCAGGAGTCTGCGTCGAAAACCGCCTCGAAAACGAGCAACCAATGTGATGACATCTTCGCATGCACTGCTGATACACAGCCTTGGTATTCGCGGATGCAACCTCAATAAATACGTCGCACAAGAAGAAACCGCAACCCCCTTCTTTCCTGCCTCATCGTTTTTTTATCTTCGATCGAGTTCTCAAGTTTTTCTTCAATCCACAATGGCCGAAATTCTAGGTGTGGTAGCCAGCGGAATCGCCGTCACCCAGCTGGCGGACCAGTTCGTTCGCTCCATGAACAATATGCATAGTTTTTGGCGCGATGTGAAAGATGCCCCTCAGAGTATCGGAAACATTCTCGAGGAACTGGAGATTCTTGGACTGATCCTTCGAAAGAACCTAGGCCAACACTGCTCACCTTAAGGTGAAGATTCTGCCATCCTTCGGTGCCTAGAATATTGCAAAAAGACGTCTGAGGCCCTTGAGAGTATTGTCGCCAAGTTGAAACTTGACACCGATGTAACGGCAAGTCAAAAACGATGGAACAATGTCAAGGGTGCTTTTAAGAAGGGGGAGATCTAAGATGTTCAGTCACGTCTTGACAGAGCCAAAGAAATGCTTAATCTGGCGATTAGTAGTTGTTCTTTGTAAGTTAAATGTTGCGTTGAGAAGCTGTTCCTGCAAAAAGTCGTTACACGCTCAACTTTGAATCATTTGTATTTACTAACCATGATGACAAAGATCGATGCAATCCGAATTAAAACAATCAATTGTGCTGCTCCAAGTCAATCAAAGCGCCAATGAAAAGTTGATTGTACCAGCCGAAACTCATCAGTTTCTGACTCCAAGCACGAAAAGTCCCATACCTCATCTGCAACACGCCCGAAAGTCTATAAATACATACAAATCTTGGTGGCTCCCCGGATACATGCAATGCGAAACCATAACGAGCCCAACTGCATGGCAAGAAAATGACAAAGAGCCAAACAATCAATGCAACAGAACAACACAATGGAGACTTGTACCTGTATCCTGGTTACATCCGAAGCACCTATCTTTCGAATTTTGTGGAAATAACTGGAAGTATTCGTTCAAACTTGCAAGAACAATCCCTTTTGGTAGTGAGGTTTTCAAAGTGTGTCGAAATGGAGATGTGCAGAGAATGATTGAGATGTTCAACTCGGGTTTGGCTACTATAAATGATGTCCTGCCCAACGGCGAAACTCTGCTTCACGTGAGATCTTTTCCTCCCTTTACGGGTATTTCGTTCCATCCACTGATAACACTTAGTATGCTGCCCGGGGAAAAGATGCTTATATATGTGACTGGCTCATTACCCAAGGAGTCGATTGTACTGCCGTAGATGAAAGGAGAGGGTGAGATGCTCTAGCATATTTTTGAACAGTATCTAATCATGCCTAAAGCACCCCGTTTCACACCTTAACCGAAAATCCACAAGACTTCAAAGCAACACTCAAATGTGCCAGATTATTGGTAGAAAGAGGGTAGATAGATCCCCTGTTGCAGAGTCGTGGTGGATGGACATGCTTGGATGGGGGTGACGCACATACTACCTTCATCGAATACTTGGTTTATTCCCAGGAACATTTTTCTGTCGACTACTCTCAAATTTCCAATGAATCATTGCTTCAGGCGTTAGGGGTAAGCGTGAACGCTTACGCGCCACTGATAACACGTCAATTAATTGGAAGTCGTGGGATATCATCTGATATAGCCACTGAGGTTTGGTTTTCTGAATACTTCGGACGTCCAATTACCTTTCTTCTTGGCGCGATTTATCGTCTTTCATTCCTATTTGACTTTTATGGCTTGGCTGTCCAGGAACTAGAATGTATTTCAAAACTACTAAAATGTGGAGCGGATATACATTTTCAAACTATGGATGGACTAACTCTCTGGGATCGTCTGTTTCACACCCGGTATAATGGTTTTGATACAAACAAAGAATGTCTAATACTTTCTTGGTTATGTTGTCTCCACAACAGCGGAGTCAACATTGCTGGGTATCTCAGAAAAGAAGAAGAACTTCATGATCGCGGCCATATCAAGCCATGGGTATACTATCGAAAATCAAACATCCGAATTTTCACGGTGTATTACGGGGAAAGAGACGACGATGTTACCGTTTTTGTTGAAGATACATGGAATATGAAGGAACATTCGTCATGACCTGGTGCTTGGGATGAGGAAATGGAAGACGCGGAGGCCAGTGGTATGAGAGTTCTTTATGATCAAGAGCCGACTGCATTCTGGTCTGTCACAACACCTGGGTTCCAGGATGGAGATTATAGCGCTGCGAGAGCTAGTTGTGATCCAGAACTTCCTAAAAGACAACGGCAAGAAGCTGGATACGAATCGGGGTTACCGGGTCTTGAGGTCATATATTGAAAGTGAATCAAGCACCATTATACTCCCAATTACCAGGAGGAGACCCATTGTCGGCGGCTACAGTACTACTATGGTTCATTCTTGATGTGTTTCAGATTACACTCTCTCTGGTAAGAACTTAGTTTTTGATCTACCCGGATCACTGCTGCAACAATGCTGAGGTATCCGATTAGGACTTTTGACCATTGCAGGAGTTGCGGATGTGTATTCTGCAAAGGCCTCTTCAAAAATGAGGCTCAAAACACAGGCCGGTTACCTGCCCTATGACAAAGCCATACAGCAACATCATTTCCTTTCCAGTTGCTATTTGTATAGCACTCGGGGAATTCACGTCTGATCAAAACTGCAACGTGCGTGTCAGAATCTCGAATGTAAGAAGTTGAGGATGCCTAAATGTCAATAGATTTGTACGTATGTTCGACTTCAAATTCAGGCAGCGATACTTCATTTTACGTATCCATTATTCCTCTTCTTATGAATTTGATATATCTCGTCTTTCACGCCAAAAAATACAATCTTTGCATTTCAGATGAGCCAAGCATCTCACAGAGCGCTATAAAAATAGGCCGGTGACATATCTTCAGTATTACCATCTAGCCAACACAGTAATTGATCCTGAATATATGGATATTCGCCATTCTTTTGATATCTGGAGGAGTAAATCGCCATGATGGAAGTGGTAGACTTCAGTTACATCTTTCACGTTGGAAAATTGATCGAGTCTTGAAGCCTAGGTGGTGGCGAGCTCTCATGACGATTTTTGGAGTTATGAGCTATCTGGCATCCATAATCTGTTTTTAGCGGCCTGTTATTGGAATTTATCTTATTTGATATTCTGGATCGTTTAGAAAGTTCTTGGACGTTGGTTCACAGAGATTGCTTTTCGCAAGACACATCGCACATTTTCATTACAGGCTATTGATTTATGACGAATGTTGAATTAATCGATGAATGAGGACTTGATCAGCTCAACATGCCTCAAGATAAGAAGCGAATGTGGGGAAAAGAGTGAACCCCACAACATATACCGACCTCCCTCGCCAGTAACAGCCAGAACCGACGTAACTCAAAACTGATGACAACAGTCAAATTTTAGGGGAAGCGAGCGAACCTCATGGAAAAACCACCCACTCTCCTGCAAGAAAGTCTAAGCTCGTACCGCAAACAAACCCTTCCACCATCCTCCAAACACATGCCCCACCACAAACAGCTCCCCCTTTCCTTCCTCATCCTTCCCAAACCCCAGGGTGAGAATCCAAAATGTAGTCGTTCACAAGAAAGTCCAAGAGACATTCCATTTTCTGCTGAACAGGCGTGATACACTATCAGGAGATTCTATCGCATAAGGGCCAAAAGGGTGCCTCTCGAGAGGCTCATCTACCTCCCCTCAGCCGGCTTGCAGTAGACGGTCATGCCCGCATCAAGAGACAAAGTATGCCCAAAAAGCAGGATATACCATGTCCTTGAACAAGTTTATCTAAAGATGTTGGGCGCGATAATCGGCAGCGATATGGCGAGGGGAGATGGAAGGCCCCTCGAGAGGCACCCCTTGGGCCCCTATGCATTAGCATATCCGGAACGGATCACTTACCTGTATCTACTCGAACTCGGGCGCATTTTCCAAGCCCAATAAAATCATGTTAGTCCTTACAGAACTCACATCTTCATGGCAATCGAGGTAGATAGCACCTAGTGTTGCTTCCATTGTAGCGGCTCGCGTTTTTGGTGAAGCTTCCCCGATTTGGGCAGGGTTCTTGTTGATGTATGCGGTTCACCGTAACGGAATAAGTCAAAGTTCCTAGCCTCGTTTTCCATGGAATTCCAGTCTATTCCAGACCCCGCATTCCATGAAACTGTGTCACATGATCCGTAAAATTGCTTTTCGACCCATAGACCAATAGAAAGATTGTTTTACAAAGATTGTGGGTTCTTGTGTTCCCCTAGGTACTTTAATCTAGGTATCGTGGTACCACCTTTGCATACGAGCAAGGAAGGTATTAAGGCCATTATATAGTAGCGGTAAAACAATCAATCATATAAAAGTAAGTATATTTACTTTCTCTTATATCCTACACTCTTATTCGCTTAAAAGCTAAAGAGTTTTGTCCTCCGGGAATATTATAGAACTATAGAACTCTAGGTTTATTTAATGGAATCTTCCATTGTGTTTAGAAATAGCTCTAGACGGATTCTAGGTAAAATCCCAAAATTCCATAGAATCAAGTTCCATTTGCCGATTGTTGCTAGTATTTATATTAGGCCTTTGATTTGAGTTTCTAACCGAGTTTATATACGATTAAGGAAACACACTATAAATCCACTGCAAAATAATTTCTCCGATGGCCCTTTTTTTAGTCTTTCGTTTAAGCCAGGCTCGTGTTTCATATATTTCATGGCTAGGCATCCTATAGTGGCATGGTATCAAATTTCCGAGCGTTGACGGTTGGCTGCACCACACTACGTATACCGTCCCGTACACCCATCATTGAGATTTCCCATAGCTCCAGAGGCTTGAGTTTTCTGAGTTCTGTCCTAACTTTCGGTGAATTAAAAAAGCGTTGCACATGTGACCGTTGTTTGCCCTAGAGGGATATATATTTTCTGTTGAGTCGTTGAAATGTTTAAGTAATTGAAAAGGCTTGTTCCTCTAACAAAGAATTTCGTGTCGAGTGTGTCGAGACTTTCAAAACCGAACATAGCTTAATTGGTTATTTCCCTTCGCTGCAATAGAAATTTGTGGCTCTTTCGCGATTTTGGGCAATTATTTAATACACAGAAGCTGAATAGCCAGGGGGTGCCTCGGCGCACTTGTTCATTATACGCTTATGCAATACGAATTCAAATCAATTCAGACCCTCATAATGAGTAGAAACTGTCTCAAATGTTGTTTTAAATCTTTGTTGTGGTAGGATGAAGCTAACAAAAAGGAAAAGGGGGGCGGGATTTTGAGCACGTGACCACCACCTGACGAGAATGTAAGGCGGCAAGAATGGGGGCATACCTATAGTTCTCCAATCCTGAAATTTGATAGAGGGTGTTCCCAGAAAGTTTGGAGTTCAAAGATCTCATTCCGTTCCATAAAAATTAAGCGGTGTGTCCAATGATTTAGGAACGTGCGACAATGGAACGAGAAATTATAAACCCGGAAGGAATATGAACACATTCAATGGTCGTCATCATATTAAGCTTTTGTATTAAGCTTTTGGGGTGCCGCCAAAATTAACTATACAGTACATTCAATCTGAGGCTTGATGAAAATTCGAACATCATCCTTGGGTGACCTGTTTACTGTTCCCCTTGTATAGGCAAAGCTTCGCCGGGATTTATGGAGTGTATTTCTCACAGCTTTCCCTTCTCGTGTTGATATCTGTTTGTATGTTCATTATATGGTGGTTGAGTTGTAAAGTTCCCTCTGCTCCAAGGTGGGGTACGTAAGGCTACTAAGTTACTCACGTATGTATTGAATGACTATTGAGGTCCCCACAGAGATTCGTCAATGTTTTTGGATGAAAAAGGCAAAGTAGCTTTGATAACTTACTACCAAAGGAAGTATTGTAGTGCTAGAGCGCACGTGGGAAATCACATGGCACACATCAATACCTTAACCAAGTTTCAACTAGGCAATTAGCCTATTCTCAGTAAAGCCAAGATAATTCTCAATCGAAAAACCCCTCGGCTGCCTTCCCGAATATTCCTGAAGAACTCATTGATAGCCTCAAGCAAAAAGGAGGGGTTCTAACGGATAATTCATATTCCTTCTTGAGCGGCGCAACCTTGACCAATTTAGTTCAAACATGATTAATCCCATTACCAGAGTTTGACCCTGTGATAGCTTCCCCGCGATAATTTCTAGAACGTGGGGAAATGCTTATCATTCCACATGGCCTCATGCAGAGATTGACAGGAGAGGAAAGCGACGACTGCCGGAAAATTCGTTATTTTGAAACTATGAATCCACCGAGGTCAACTTAGTTGGGGAGAAGATGAAGTTTAGGATTGAAAATGGCAAGTATTTGGTAGAATATCTTGGCTGCTTCTCTACAATTGAAAATACATCCCCTTAACTGAGTCATGTAATGAGTAAATTGCCACCAACCATATGCATTCACAGCCGCAGCGTGATTATTAGAGTTAGCAAAAAGAGGGTACTTCATTCACTCTGTTAATGCAAAACATTTCTTGATATCCCTTGTGACGAAATATCAGGGGCCGCTTAATGGGCTCCATGGACTTCCTGGATTTCTGGAGTGAGGTCAAAATTAAGGACGAACTAATCCTTAAAATGGAAAACCTTCCGTTGGTGTTCGTTACAGGGTTCAAACGAACTTGACTGCCCTTTCAATCCAAGAAGCATAAAGATTCTCCGATATTTGTCGCTCGTGTGTGGTACAGCCGAAGGACCGCAAAGCCGGAGGGCTTCCAAGATGGGCCTCCTCAGATCATGTCTATCATTGTCTTTGCGGCCTCATGTTCCGGAAGGAGGTTACGGATTAAAATGTTCCGCAAGATGGAACACCAATGATTGGTAGAGTCTTGGAGGTGATGGATATCTACACTGTAGACTTGAGAACCTGAGGGTGCATTGAAGCGACGAGAATTGAATTGCAAAGTATAAAGATTCCTTCTTGTTCGCTTTCATAAGTCTTGGAGCAAACTCAACACATCCTGAAACTCAGACAATATTCAAAATGTATTCTCCACTGCTTGTTATCTTCCCTTTGATGCGGTATTCCCAAGCCCAAAACATCGGGACCAACACAGCTGAAGTCCACCCTGCGTTGACGTATCAAACTTGCACAGCCAGAGGAAGCTGTTCCACAGTCAACGGTAAAATCGTATTGGACGCTAACTGGCGCTGGCTTCATTCTTCATCTGGAACCAATTGCTACACCGGAAACACATGGGACGCATCACTCTGCCCTAGCAATACTGAATGCGCAGCCAACTGTCAACTTGATGGAGCTGCTTATTCCAACACTTATGGCATCACTACGAACGGGAATTCCCTCAGACTGAACTTCGTCACAAACGGCCAGAATAAGAACATTGGTTCCAGGGTTTATCTCATGTCGGATGACGACACATACAAAACCTTCAACATGTTGAATCAGGAATTTACCTTCGACGTTGATGTTTCTCATCTTCCTTGTGGTAAATAAACCTCTCCGGAATTCTAACCAATTATTTGCTAAAGCTTCTTAGGAATCAACGGGGCGCTTTATTTCGCTGGAATGCAAGCCGACGGCGGCAAGTCCAAATATCCTTCAAACAAGGCAGGACCGAGATACGGTGTTGGATATTGTGATGCTCAATGCCCAAGAGATTTGAAGTTCATCAACGGACAGGTAACTTTTGCCTATGTCTTGCTTACAAAGGTTAGACTAACCAATCTTTTAGGCAAATGTAGAGGGATGGAAGGCATCTTCAAACAACATCAACACTGGAGTTGGTAATCATGGGTCATGTTGCGCTGAGATGGATGTTTGGGAAGCCAATTCTATATCTTCAGCATACACACCCCACACTGCAAGCACAGTCACGCAACACATGTGCACTGGCGATTCTTGCGGTGGCACATACTCAACTGATCGATATGGAGGAACTACTGACCCAGATGGATGTGATTTCAACTCCTACCGTATGGGTGACAAGTCTTTCTACGGTCCAGGTGGAAAAGTCAACACCAACTCGGTTTTCACTGTCGTCACGCAGTTCATCACTGATTCTGGAAGTGCTTCTGGAAATCTGAAAGAAATCAAGAGATTCTACGTCCAAAACGGTGTCTTGATTCCAAATTCCATGTCAACAATCAGAGGAGTCACTGGAAACTCGATTACCACAGAATTCTGTGATGCACAAAAAACAGCTTTCGGCGACTCCAACGGATTCAAGACACACGGTGGATTGACAAACATGGGCGCAGCCTTCAAAGCAGGCATGGTTTTGGTCTTATCGATCTGGGATGACTATGCCGCGAACCTTCTGTGGCTTGACAGCACCTATCCTACTACTGGCGACCCAGCCAAGCCAGGAAACGCTCGCGGTACATGCAGTACAAGCTCTGGAGTTCCTGCCGATGTTGAAGCACAAGCTCCTAACTCTTATGTCATCTATTCCAACATCAAAGTTGGACCTCTCAACTCGACATATACTGCTTAAGGAAGTGAAGGATTTGAAAACACTAAGGTCGGAAAATTGGTTCTGGGGATGGCTCTGGGATTGTTTACCATGAAAGGAAAGGCAAATGTGATTCTTTGTACATATTTTGACACCATAACGAACAAAGTTTGATTGGATGGTATAATTCAGCTCGAAGATAATGCTATTATTCTAAAGTTGCTCTGGTTGATAGAGGAAGGTGGCAATAGCCCAATCTGACGAGTCCGTCTCCGCAGATTCTCGATTCTCCTCTTCAACTGATGCTGTATTTCCTTCCTTTGATAAGGGCTACCCCCATAGATCAACACCTGGTATTGCTTAGTGTCATAACGTATATACAGGCCATATATACGTTGTAGCTCCTCGAGATGTTCAACGGAACCCGATTTCAGGAAGTATTTGTGCCAAATAGGAGAATACGCGGTCATTATAATAGTTCCGTTCAGAAAACTCTCGGCCGACTTCTTTGACTCCGCAATCTTCTCTGCAGTGTCACCGAATAACCGCAGACCGACGGAATCGCTCTCATAATCGATGGGTTGATAAATCTTGTATTGGAGGTGGCCATCTTCCCAAAATTCATAGTGCGTTTCTCTTAATTCAGTTCGGTAGAAATCGAGGATTAACAAGGGAATTCTGAAATTGATAGAAATGATATGTTTGACGGATAACAAGCTGCCGGTACGTATTCCAATATCCATAGAGTGGAGAGAGTTTACTGCACTGATGGCACCTTCTTGATTGTCGAATGTTGCGTACGCTCTTATTTTGGTACTCATAGTGTCGACTAGTTTAAATTGAAACGAAGAAATGGTACCATGTTGCCGTAGAAGTCTTTTGACCATTGTGGCAGCCTCAGTGTCCGCAAAGTTTTCGGGCGAGCCAATGCTGATGTTATCGGGCGTCAATTTTCCAGTCAATATCTCTTCAAAGTGATCACGACTAGTTCTCGAGTCAAGATTTCCAACAATAAGAGTGACAAGTGCCTTGCCACTGTCGTCCGATGAAATGTTTTCGGAGGTGAGCAAATGCAGCGATATAATACGCCCAAACAGCAAATGTCGCTCAAGCACTTCCTGTGCCATATGCGCTTTCCTGCTCGATTTGAAACTAAGCTGCGCAGAAGAAGATGACCTATACCAAGTACAACTAACCGAGCTCGATTCTGTGGGGTGTGATATGTCGTCGGAATCCACGAGACTTTGTGTCTCTGCCAAACGTTTTCTGATGAATTTTGATATCTGGCCTTGACTTCGGACATTTTCTTCTATTCTCGGCCTCAATCGCTGTGAGGTGTAATCCAAGACAGCAACGACATCTGTATTTGAAGTTGGAGAGCTAGAATCTCGCTGCTGCATAGTCACTACCACATCTCCTGAGCTGATATCCTCAGCGCCCATTGCATATGGCAGTCGACAAAATGGGTGTAACACAGATTCCAGTTCCCCTTCGATCAAGTGGACGTTTTCCCCATCGACCACTTTCAAATAATGGCTTTCCTTTGATTCATTTTTAATATACTAACTTGCTTTAGCATTCTGATATACCCAAAGATTGAGATATTTGTAGTATTTGACATACCTGGTTTCGACTGTGACTTCTGTCACGCCCACCCCATTCATTTTGTGCTACACCGTTCGCCAGAAGATCTCCAGGTCGACCAAATTTTCTTGTATCGCGTTTGCAGTCTTCAAAGGCACAAACCTGCCGTTGCTGGCTGTATGGCAGAAAATAGACTGGCGTTTGCATATTTGTGTTGAGAGATGAGGATGCGGGTTTGCGATTAGGCACATCATGACGTTTAAATTTCAAGGGCGCAATTAAAATACTGTCTGCAGGTGTAAGATCGGGAGTAATGGTCTCCGGCGTCCATTGATCCGAAGGAATTGAAGTCCAGGATTCCATGTTGGATTGAACTTATGAAGATTTCTGTAGAGTGGACGCCTTGCTCATCCCGAGAAAAGCCTTCCTCGAGTCTACAAGTACTCCCTTTCCAACATCACACTGCATTCTCGACTCCGTACTACGCAATGACATAGTCTTTGCATACACCAAGTTACACCTCTCGAGCCGCTAAGATATCAAAATCGGTGGTCACAAGTCAATGTTTGAAGTAGTCGAGGTAGAGAAGATCTGTGCAGGTCGCTAACAAATCCCACAGACATCAAGGGGAAAATGTGGGGATCGCACGTGTGCTCGCTTAACTTACTTTGAGTTTAGCCCCTTTTCAAGTTTGATTTGGAGGTCCGCTAGGAGTGCTAAATAATTGCCAACGATGCATGAAGACGATCACCGTTTGAGTATCATTGATAACAAGGTTGCAGGTGTTGAAGTGGCAGGTTTGGGGATGACCCCCGCCCCCGCCGTCCACGTTGTGGAAATATTGCTTCGGCTTGTTCCACCTTTTTAGGTTGATTTTTGGTAATTACAGTCACATTCAATTTAAGCTTCAAAAGTTTAAAAAAGTTTAAAAAAGTTTGTAAAAGTCTATACTTAGTTTTCTACCTCGGATTCGTCTATAAATTCGATTACCCCCCTACAAGTAGGTATACCGTCTCTATTATATATATCATAAGTTAAGTCCTCGTATATGTGCTTCGTACTCTCTTTTAAGTCTCCTATCCTTCTTCCTTATTACTCTTCTCTTATTAACCCGTCAAATCTGCTACTCTCGCTATTCTTTCTCCTTTACTCGAGCCGCTTCTTTTGCCCTCTCACGTTCCTCCTCCCTAGCTCTCCCCTCCTCTACCTCCTTATATTACCGCTTCTTATCTACCTCCTCCTCTTATGCCTTCTTTTATGCCTTATTTTACCTTTAGTACTTTCGTTATAGCCTATGGAGTTCTTATTCCTTAAGGAACTCTTAACATATGATTCTACGGCTTGTAAGGTATACGTTAAATATAAGGCGGATACGCTCCTTGCTTTATAAAAACCTGTCTACGATTTCCTAAAGGTCTAGGCCGTCGCTGTCTAGGAAAACCGCGATAATTTCGTTTTGTTCTCGAGGGGTAATACGTAGCGCTATAATACGAAGTAGGAGAGTAGTTGGTTAGTAGATGTTCTTAGGGCTAGGTAGTAGTATATAGATAAAATGAGTAGTTAGCGGATGTTATAAGGGTTATATAGCGTAGTAAATACAAATAATCACTTATCTAAGTGTAACGAATACTCAAACTGGCTAACTAAACTTGGCTGGGTGTTCGCTGGTTGGTATGCTATGATAAGAAGAAGACTATCGGGTTGTTCACTTGGAAGTGAACTCGTTACTTGTATCAAAGATGTCAAACTAATATGATAAGATTGATAACTAAGTTGAGCACGAAGCTCCTATCTAATGGCAGACGTGCCAGTCTTATATAGAACCTCCGTTCTCCTGTGTCGCCTACATCGCCTGTCGATGTAGTCGATGTGCGCTTCCCGTGACTGCTATAAGAAACCTAGATGTGCCTGTCGAGGGTTGCGCCTCTTATTATGACAAGTATCACGTGAGCACGTGATTCGTGACACTAAGGTGGTAAAAAGGGGTAGTTTTAAGCACGGACTTTTATAAACTTTTTTAAACCTTTAAAGCTTAAATCGAATGTAACTATAAGTTATATCTTCTAGAACACGAATCGAAGTTATAATAATATAAGAGTATTCATAGCTAGTTTTTCCGTCCACCTGGAGTCTTATTCTAGGAATACATGTCACAAATCACGTGCTAGCACGTGAGGAGTTAGTCCAGACGGGGTTCTGACAGGACAAACACATTATGGCTCTTATAGCAAAAAGGGATCGCTTAGGTTAGTTAAGCGATCCAGGGATTTCTTTGTATATAAGTCACGTGATATATGCAGGTCGACTTCAGGAACACGAAGGATCTATATAAGACTGGCACGTCTGCCATTAGATAGGAGCTTCGTGCTCAACTTAGTTATCAATCTTATCATATTAGTTTGACATCTTTGATACAAGTAACGAGTTCACTTCCAAGTGAACAACCCGATAGTCTTCTTCTTATCATAGCATACCAACCAGCGAACACCCAGCCAAGTTTAGTTAGCCAGTTTGAGTATTCGTTACAATACACTACACTATTTTTAACGCTCGGCAACTAGAATTCCTTTCTATTCCAGACCCCTCCTCTAGAACAAATCTATTCTATTTAGGATTTTACTAGAATTACTCCATTCTAGAGGCTTATATTTTATAGAATTTATAGAATGTCCAGATAGAATTCATTATGTAACCTAGTATAAAGTCGCCCCGATCTAGGTAATGTAACATAGAAGCGTTGTTGGCGCTCTACATGTTACAGCGCCAACATGTTACAGGTAACTAGTAGGAAGCTTCTATTTAGCTCTAGACTCTTATAGTATGTGGTCCTATAGAAATATTATGTAAATATCCCCCTTATTATCCAAGACTATAAATATTATACTATATAGAGTCTCTATATAAGTCGTTCGCTTGTCCTTCTATAGTCCCTATTTACCTATATCTTATAATTAACGGTAAACGACAAAAATGCCACCTATGTACCACGTCACTGGTTTACTAGTCAAAATATTAGTAAAGTGATGTCTATATCATTGGTACTTTAGTAGTTTTGTCGTGAAAATAGGGGCATTTTTGTCGCCAAAAGGTAGCATTTTTATTAGTATAGATGTTTCATTTCTTTATCAGATATCATAAGCAAGACACCTAGAAAACAATGAATCATATAAATTAGCTAACTATTGCTACTTCCTAATACCATGTAGGCCTGTTCTTGTCGATTTTGGTAGTAGTTGAGCCTAGTACCGGGAGGGTTTACGTCTAAATCCAGGTTGGTCTATAAGCCTTAATTACTTCCTTCTAAACAACATATTCGATTCCTTGCCCCCGAGCCTTAACTACGTTATCCTAGCCTTCTTTTTATTGAGCCTTATCGACCAACTTTTATATCTTCAACTTCGTAGCCTCTACTAGAGGGTGGGCGACGGTACGGGGTGTTCTCTTTACGTGGCATATTGTATCCGCTTTGAGGCTGTTGATATACAAAGGAATATTTACCTGAGTAGAGGCTACTTGAAATTAAGGAATCACGCTAGCAAGTAAGCTAGCCTTTTACTATATGCAGCGTTCGGCATTTGTAATTCCATTCCATTCCAGGACCCCCCTTATGGAATATTCTATTCCAAATAGTATAAGTGTTAGAATATTCTATTCTAAAGGGTGGAATATTTGGAATTCTAATTGAAATTACTCACATGGCCCGCAAAAAAAGTAGTTCCGGTCCGAGCGACTAATAGGAAGCCTAGCCTTAGCCTTAGTCTTAGCACCACATTATCTACACTATCAACGCCACAACAATAATATCTCGATGTCGCCCCACACATCTCACCAAAAGAGCCTTAAATACCAGCATTTTACGCCTCCTGTGGCACACATACTCCTAGACTGCCGGTACAGGCAGTACAAACACTACAAAACCACTCGGATTCACCATAGTCATATACAGGAGACGACGATAGTGAATTAGGCGTAGGTAAAAATCACAATTTCATTGCTCACTTTATAACAAATAGAGCTCTCTTATTGGTTGAATAGTGATGTATATATATCCTTTGGAATTCCAAATTCCAAGGCCTTATCCTCTGGAATATTCCGTTCCAAATTAGAGAGCCTTTGCGATATTCCACCTTGAAATGGAATCTTGGGTCCTTGGAATCGTATTCCAAGTGCCGAACGCTGACTATATGTTGGACTAGTAGGACATCTAGAAAGTGGATATAAATACTACTGTTTTACAACAAAAATACTACCATTTTCCGACAAATATGCCACTAGTTCTATGTTCATCAAAGTTATATGTAAAACCTACATTATGAAAATTAGTGGTATACAAGTGGTATATTTGTCGCTAAAAACTTAATTAGGTGGTATTTTTGTCGTTATTAATTAATTAGGTGGCATTTTTGTCGTTTACCGTATAATTGATATATTTATACTATTTACTTAAAACCTACCCCTAAATACTACGTTTCAATTAGTTAGAAAAGCCTCTGGAATTCTATAGAGCTCGTAAAATTCTAGAGACTAATTAATAGAAGTATTCTATTCTATTTTATAGGTGCTTCAAAGAATTCTATATAGAATATTCTACCTAGAACTCCATAGAATATAGTTCGATCTACCAAGCGTTGACTATTTTTAGAACCAATTCTCCAAGTCTATTCTACGGCAAGCTCTCTCACGAGGTACTCAGTTTATGAATCCCAGGTGCTACTTTATACTGTAGCTGCCCTTGGCCGAATGACTTCTAATAGGAAACAAAAAGATGCCGGCTACGTAATGCCCTTAGTTTCGCTATGGCTGTATGTTCGATAGTCCCCAATCTCATAACCCACTTCATCAAAACCCCCCTCGAAATCATCGAACTGAAATACTATAAGTTGTCCTAGCAACCATTCCACAAACGACTACTCAAGACGCTCTGGTCACTTAAACCAACCCGAGTACCTCCTGAAGCTCATTCTTGCACCTCGTATGCGGATGGAAACTGGTTCCGCCCAGGTCGTGAAAGAGATGGTGAGAGGAGAAAGCACTTGTCATCGCACCAAAAATCGTCTACGACATTATTGTAGTTGTTCGCGTACCACGCGTATCATACCAAATATTTATCAAGCTTCCACTTCAGTATGTAAACAAAAACGTATGGCGTTCGAAGCGGAGCATTCTTCGTCTTCTCATTATCAAGTCGAAAGTTGTCCTCAAAGACCTCACTGCGTTGCGCGTAAGAAACCGTCTCCTTGAAGAAAAGTATCCACTGTTCCTCGGTGTTAGGGCGTAGATAAAGGAGGTACCGTGGTGCCGGCTTAACTTCTTCGAGTACTACAACTCTAGATAGAGAATTACGTTTAGCGATATACATGTGGGCAAAAGGGGGGAGTCTACTGACCCGTGTAGCTGATAAAGTGCGTCAGTAACAAACGGTTCTGTTTACTTTGCGAGATCTAACTCGGAGCTGAATTCGAATCTTTCGGTCGACTAATCAGAGTTGGTTAGAGAAATACGAAGCGCTCCATACTGTATATGCAGGACATAGTTTACCTTTTCCAGACTGTCAGAGACCACATCATAATACCAGAAGTTTCCATGCAGAATCAAGACTTCGGGTAGTTTCGTAAGAGTCAACCTTTTGTCTGGAGTATCTTCCATATCAAAACAGTCTTCTAAAGAGTCTTCCAAACGATTCAAGCCAAAGCCCATGCGGAAATTCATATCTACGAAGTTTAGTAACGATCTTGGTGACAACAAGAAATTTTCAGAAGTACCATAGAAATGCTCATGTCTCGCGCTTCCTAATTCAAGATAATAAGTCGCCATTGATCCCGTTTGGAAAGATGTTGACTCAGAACCGATTGTTGTTTCTTCAATTCTATAAATAAGCTTTCTCCAGAACTCCATAAAGTCCTGTGGTTCATTGATCTCCTCCTCTCCCCATCCAAATGTGGCTATCACACCCATAGAGTCTACGGGAAGATGAGAAGTATGAAGCTTTCAAAATAGTTTCTGAAGCTCATTGAGCAAACCATAGGTAGCAGTTTCTTCTGTACTCAATACTGCCTAATTGAAATAAGTAACTTTGCACAGGAAAGGGCCAAAGTAAGAATACCGTTCGGAATGCTTTTAGGATGTAAAATATCTGTAACGAAGAGATAACGTAGCCGATAGCGCCTGGGTTCGTGGTTGCTGTATATCCGTGGCCAAGCGCGTATCTCTTCAACTCTGGGTCTTCCTGCATTTTTAGCAGCTCCAGGTCATCAGCAACCTTCCGCAGCTTATGTGCGTAAATATCTGTCGTCGACGCGGTCTCGGGGCTTTCGGAAGGGAACAAATCAAAAGTGTGTTCGTTGAATCCAGACAATAATTGATCTGTGTTCGATGTGCTAACGAGTTGTAAAGTTGAGAGATTGATGTATAGAACTGCCGGAAACGGATCACTTCGCGTATCTGCTTCGGTAAGAGCGTACTCTGTCCTGACTACTTCGACATACTTCTCGGCGGTCAATTGGCTCCTAAAGGGAAGCTTACTCTTACTATGGGACATAAATATGCAGCCACGTCCGATAAGTATGTACTTGTTATCTTCAACATTAATCTGAGGGTCTGCCGTGGTAGAATTTTCAGGTTGAGAGCGTGTCATAATCAAAGAGATTTGGGTATCCACGAAACTCAATACAATATCTCCAGTTTGTGAGTCACTGGGAGCAATGCCAAGGACATATGGCTGGCCGTGTTTGACGGTGCCGTGGTCGAATTGTGTGGCAAGGAAAACAGAAGGACGCTTAACCTTCCGAACTATATTGAATGGGTTTTTCACGCCCTTGATTGTGGCATATACCCTAGAATCTCTTATTTCACCTATGCCTTTCAGATCAGACTCTACCAGATCTCGCCAGTATCCTAGGTGAGAATAGGGTATTTTGCCGTCAAGAAAATCGATCAAATCAGAAACTCCGTATAGTTTCGCATCATCGGAATCCGAGTACGGAAATTTGAAGATTGTCCAAACATTGCATGCTGATATCGAGACAAAGGACGACGGGGCTGGCCCAGCTTGTTCATCTAGGGCTAGGTTCTGTATACCATGACCATCTGCAGGATGATTGCCTAGAAGCGCTTGAAGAAATTCGCTGAGTTTCATCAGTTGAGCTGCGCAATGTGATGAAGATTCTTGTCGAAATTTGTCATAGTAGAAGCAAATAACGTCTTGGTAGATTTGTTCCACAGACTTCGTGTAATCAATCGTAAGACCTCGACCACCACAATCAGTAGAAAGTCCCATGAATCCATAAATTTTGTCATGGACTTCCTGACACAGAGAATCCTTGAACGTTTCTAGAAGCGTCCAAAGAACGCAACCACCATTTGAACGGGCTTCTTTTTGTTGGTCAAGTCGGGCTGGGAGACTACGCATGAATTGTCGTTCTCCAGAAGACAAATACTGAGGCCAAATATGCTTGCGAGATTTCCGTAATTCAGAAAGATATTTCCATGGAATCTGTTGCCTGCCACAACAAATCACAGCTCGTGAAGCAAGGCAAATCTCTTGTACAATCCAAACTCTTTTCCAGTACTCAATTTCGCACAAGTCCTTGAAGGCAACCCAACGAGGATCATCCATTAGCTCTTTGCGGTTATAAGGACTCCGAAGGTAGGTTTGCGAAAGAAAGGAAAACGCTTCTCGGTTACTTTCTGTCTCTGGTCCTAACCAAGCCAAAACTCTCCGCGCACGACTAAACACGTCGGCCATTCGTTGGACTTGGTGGTTTCGCTCATCAATATCGGACTGATTAATACAAATTGCATCAACCCATAACATGACTCCAGAGGAAGGCTGCCTTAAATGAAGAAGGGCATTGAATAGATTGTTCCTGATGCGGAAAGGTTCATCGTTGACGAAGATGATATTCGCAGCTGGTGGAAGACCCCATGTGTAAGAGAGGGCATCAGCTTCATGGGTCGCATCAAAATTGACAGATGTAAGAATACATCGTACTGGATCTTCTCCTTGGCCTGGAAGAACTTCAAGAAGGCGAATCTGAGCTTCATTGGCTCCTAGTTCTGTCCCTGGATACTCGAAGGTTCGTGATTGAAAGTCCAGTTCTCGTTTAGTAAGGGAAGCCATGGTATTAATTCTTTAGGGGCGAGTATTGCAGCCCAGTTGAAGTTCCGGCTTGACGATCATCATGCACACTCTTTATTGTGTTGCCTAAATGGAACATCACAAGCAGCTGCAGTGCTTCGGACAAGATTTTGACCAGGATTCTATAACACGTGAGTCTATGGATTTTTGCATTTAAAAAGGCTTCCCCTGGGATTTATTGAGTGTCTGGGCAACTACTGAGGAGAACTTTTATTAATGTAGATATATACAAACAGAAATTGAATTAATAACTACAGGAGAAGAAGTGAAAGAAAGGTGCCTCTTAGATCACGTGAGGTAAATACATGTTACCTACCTAAGACATGAGGGGGACTTGAGATTTAGGTAGGCTGCTAGTGAGCGAGTTAATCCCACTAGAGATTACATGCAAAGACGAACACGTAAATACTCCAGACATGAAGATCTGCCAACACTATCCTTGTCTCTTAAGATGTATTTCCTGTAAGATACCTGGTTGTTAATCTATACACACCATATAAAATGCCATTATACTAAACTTCTAGTACAATTAAGCTAATTATATTTGTATACCTAGGCTAATCAGAAGTAACAGGTAAAAATTATTCTAAGCTCCTCATATAACTATTTCGGTTGTACGACGCTTTTAGAATATATTTACTCTCGGAGAGATGTGTACAGAGCAACGACTACGTCACTTATAAGCAACAAAAAACAGGATAAGAAGACGGTGAACGCAAAAAGAGACAAGAAATGTTGCACAAGTCGATACTTTATCGATATCCTCGCTCAAGAGCAATCTTGTAAGCGAATAAATCAGGGTAAAATCACAACAAGAATACTTTGATTAGAATAGAATATATACAACATTCCACCATACCCTTCTAAGGAATTCCATGACTAACACCTGCCAACTTCAACAACGCAGGGAAATTGGGAGTACCAAACCCAGTGATAGGATCCCAGCCCTTCGTAACCGGGAAACCCGTCACCCCACAGCCCTGCGCATTCCCACTCAGGATATCAGTAAATCCCTTATAGCCCTTGGAGTAAAGCCATGGGTTGAGGAAACCTAGAGGAGGTTTCTTCTCGGCGATGAGTGCGTCGTTTACGAGGGAAACGATGCTGGACACCAATGGACATGAGGCACTGGTGCCGCTGATGGAACTTTCTGTAAGGTTGAAGAAGAAGGCGAAGTATAGACCTTGGGCTGCGAGATCTGGGTATCCTCGACCGCCTGTTCGTGTGAGTTAGCAATGGTTCAAGGAGTTATGAGAGGAGGAACTTTCCTTTGCTGTACATCCCATCGTAAGAGCCGTTGAGTTTTTTTATGTAGGCTAGAACAACAGCATCTTGCCAAGCAGGTCGGGGAAAGTATGATGAGAATCCTGTGTTTGGTTAGGTTGAGAGTAGTTGAAGTGGAATAATTGGACTTACCAGAGCCCGAAGCATAAAAGCCGTGATTGCGTCCATCGGGACCGATTCCAGGTTGTCGATAAGCAGAGACTTCTGGCTCAAATTGCTGAGTAGCTCCCACAGCTGTAACATAAGGACAACCCGCGGGAAAAGCCGGTAAAAATGTAGGGGTGTTCTTGCCATCATTTGTCACACAGCCTTCAGGATCACTTGAACCGACTCCGTCATCACCACTGGATACCAAAAGCGAAATTCCACGTGCACCAAGTTGAGCAAATTGCCTGCATACACGTGCAGCATATGCTTTTGGAACTGTTTGTTCGTCATCACCATACGAACTGCTGATGACTTGGGGAACATCCTTCTGAGCCATGACATAATTAACCCAAACAAGATAAGGCTCGTTGGTATTAGTTGGTGTTTCGACATCTGGAATGAATGGTGGGCTTCCGCCAGTAGAGTATGAGTAGACGGGTGCAGGATACGTCATTCCAAGAATTGTTTGAGCATCAAGATTGGCCTCACGGACGAAATCGTCTCCTGCGGCTTGTTCAAGTGTCAATGGTGTACCTTGAGCAGCTGGTCCTCCATCAATCTCAATTGATTTGAAGGTGTATGCGTTTGGAGCTGCTTCTGGTCGATACTTGGCGAGGAATTCCTCAATATCTGGTCGAATAGGAGTTTGGTTTAGATAATTGTTGAACGCAATTTTGTTGATTTGTGGGACCTGTGGCTTGTAATGAATGGTTCCGTAAAGAGTACGGAAGCATTCAATTGTCACTGGGAAAAACTTGCAAACTTTGGCAATGGTCTCGTTTGTTGGGGGTTTGTAACCAGCTGGTAACAGGGGCTGAGCGAATTGTATCCAGTCTGATTTCTGTGGTTTTGTTCGCATGAACGAAGTTGTCGGCTATTTGATGTTAGTTTTGACCTTGAAAGATATTCACCGCAATTGATATTGAGAACCGAGGAAAATGCTCACCTGAATGGTGTCTACATGCTCATGAAGATGTTTTGGAAGAGACCATTTTTCTGTTCGAACTAGAACAGAGCCATCCTCATGCTGATATACAGAATACTCGGCATCAAGTAAAGCTTCGGCAGAGGCAACATCAATTTGAACACTGATCCAATCTTTGGCTGGAGAATAGTTCATCGCATGAACACCATTGGTGAGCAACCATTCGTGAACGAGATCCAGAGTCTCCTCAGCCGGTTTTACCAAATCATAGATATGATCGATACTTAGGTGCTTGCCATAGCTAGATAAATATAAGTCAAGTTTCTTTGGATAGAAAACTGATTTTCTTACCGAGGGTGGGCTGGGTTCGAAACTATAGAACAATTAGCATTATCAAAGTTTTGGGATTTGATAGAAGTTTCATACCCTCGTAGAGATGTTGGTCAAGCTCAGCAAACTTATCCTGTTTCAAGCCAATCTGGAGGTGTAGCTTGTGGTCTCCGGGGGCACGACCAACTGGATTCCACTTTCGAGGGGCTCGGTGAACTTCCTTCACATCATATTCTGTACGAGCTTGGATTGGCGTTCCGAAGACAGTTTGTACACCGATTGCAACCACACTGATAATGGACAACGTGGACCTCATTCTGGCTACGTTCTTGGTGCCTGGAAGCGAGAAGCGAGGAATGTAGGAGAGCAACAATCAAGAGCTCTTGGGTCAAGGGTCCAAGACAATCAAGCTTGCGGGGACAAGATTCTTTTATACATGCTGCTACGTGCCCAGAGATATTTCGCCCGCCACTGTGGTTTTACACGCCATCCCCTTTGGTTGTGTAGTCTCACCTCAACCTCCCAAGAGTGGAAGGAATCACCAGCCGGTGCAGCATACTAAAGTGGAATAAATTGCGACTTCTGTGATTGTCAGGATAGTAAACCGTTATTACTCGTCAATGGCTGGGTCTGCGATTGACCAACTTCCTACCTAAGTAATGTTGTGTTGCGGATCGTCGTTGATGCAGGTGCTACCTTGGCCCCGTACAACTTGCATGCCTCCCTAGCTTGGCCTGTCTGCATATTGACATATGTCATGACGACCCCGCACAAAATGGATTCCATAACCAAAAACTTCTAATAACAGCTTCGATTTCAGACTCTTTGATTGTTTTTCTTCCAGAGCAACGAAACTTTTGACATGAGGTTGGGTGGTTGTAAAGAAGCTTACAGACAAGCTTATATATAGAGTATCCTACCACCCTCGCGTTTCTTATCGCAAAGAATGCTGACATCCCATGTACTGTACCGTACAAGGTCGGTGAACGGCTTCAATCAGCTTCCCGTCACCCGTGCCGCAATATTAATTGCTGTCATAGAGTTCATGGTTCTCTTCCCTGATAGGAACGAAGCGTGCCTGCTGTACAGAACAGTATTATTAATGCCGTACCTCTCCAGATTCTTTACCGCTTGGTCAATCTAGGAAACAATACCCTTGTTGGTCGGATGAGATCTTCCACTCCACAGACCACCACAACAAGCCTTCTCTTCGTCCTTTTTTCCCTTTGATATTATTGCTCTGTGCCTTGTGCCATTCAGCAATTAAAGGGCAAATGTTGTTTTTCGAAACCTCAACTTCTATTGTTCCCAAGCTTCCAAGATGCCGTCTGCAAGGAGGTTTTTATCTATTGGCATGGCATTGGCACTTGCTATTCGAGCCTTCTTTTTCAAGTCTTAAGTAGTAAGTTTCGATGATAGCTTCGTCGTCCCAGAGATCTTCTGGTAGGAAGAAAAGGAGGGGTCGAGAACGTCAATGTCCCGTGCATCCTAAGCAAATCGAGTTGACAACAGCCAAGGCCATTATTTCTTCCAAAACTAGGAGAATTCCTGGCCAAACAGCTCAGATACATTCCGCCTGTAAGAAGTCGGGCTTGAAGTTGTCCCTACTCGTACCATTTGCTTGTCACCATACTTTGCGTCAAAAACACTTCCTTACCAGAGCATTCCTCCCGAAAGGCATTGGACTCTTGGAGTCTTAGATGTCAAAAGCAGCTCGTCCCAACCTACTATTGAAAACGATGCTACTTGGAGTTATTCGCGCATAGCTTCAATAGCTCAATAATCCTCGAAGAAAAAGTTATACATATTTCATGATTTCCCATTGCTACATAACACACTTCCTATCTTTACCCAACACCACCACGCATCTCCAAGCACCACAAAGGCACTCTACTCTCAGAGTAGGAGATTTGTTAACCAAGAAACCAGCATTCCCCTAGAAAAGTCCGAAGATGACATGTTGAAGGCTCGAAATGACATCTCTCAATACAAGTTATATCTACCCTAAAATTCCCAGTCTTCGCATTCCAATCGAGCGTAAACTAGATCTCCGATCCCAATTTCATGTCTAGCAATGAGCTTTACCTTCCGCAACTTGCTCCGCAGCATCTCCCAAAACTTCCCGCTGTGAACTCCTTTCATTGGATGTGAAGATGGATATAGAAGATGTGTATGGAACTTCTGCAGCTTTGCCAAATTCGTTCCTTGAGAGGATCAACCTATATTTTAGCCAACCTGGTTTCATAAAATTTCAATATAAGATTTTTAGCTCGTAAGATACCTCGGAGAACTGAAAAGAGAATCGGAGGACAACGCTGATACTGAGATTGTGTCTCGCTGGAGTCAGGAATAAGCGTTAGGTGAGTTGTATTTGATCTCGAGGGAGTCAATATTGCTAACAAACACCTTCGAGTTTCGTAGTCGGAGAGGATTTGGTTATAAGTATATGAGGTGTTTTACGGCGTTTTTTATAACGCCTAATAGAATGTCGCTGATGTTCTTACTCTATTAATGACCCATAGGCGAAGTCTGAGCTTATCGTTAGAAGACTAAAGTTCATGGCTCTCCGAAAGGAGTTTTTGAAATCTTTACTCTTGCCCATAACAGGGACCGATTGCACATTCTTTAACTGCGGATTTTCCCCCGGTATAGTTTTTGAGTGTTTGAGAATGGTCGTAATATCAAGTATACCTACGTGTAAGAGAGGCGGGCATTGCTCTGTACACGCGATCAAAAGTCATTTTTTTATACTAAACTTCCGGCACAAGTAAATCAATCGTCCTTTCTCACCTAGGTTAATAAAGAGTGAAAAGTATCAATTATCCTAAACTGTTCGTATAATTGATTTAGTTATATAAGGTCTTTAGGATAATATTTTTATAACTCGGGTGTATGGAGTAATACCCGCCTCTCTTACTTATTACTTTATGTAAGTCTGGGAGGGGATGGTGGAGAACTACTCTGTATTGGATAACACGAAGGGGAGTCCTGTCTCAATTCTCGTCCAAACAACCTTTTCGTCTCAGTGCTCTTGTATCTTCAGCAGTTGAGTGCGAAACGGACTTCAACCAAATAGGATAGGATAGTTGCTACTAGGTACGTACAGCTAATTAACCGATCCCAGTAGGGTCTACTAGTTTGTTCTTTCAATTTCGAGCCCATATAAAGGCTTTTGCAAGCGATTCCCTATATTTTTAACGTTATTGAAGAAAAGAAGAGTTGGGAGGGTTTGTGTTCTTGACTTACTTGGTTGCATGATGTCATTGTCTCAATATATAGGTAGGTAGTACACAGACGTCTGGAAGAGAAAAAATACAACTTATTTGTTAGTACCTATCCTATGTACTGCAACTACCCCTAAGTACCTTCCTCTCGTGATACTTTTACTACTTACTAAGTATACAAATTCCCAATTCCACCCAACTACTCCAGCACCCCTCACCGGACATCCGCGAGTGGTAGCTAGCAAACACTTCCTCCCCCTCAGCAGCCCACCCACTCCCCCAACCCCCATAATTCCATCAAACACCATCACACCACAAAGAACCCCTCAATTCCCTCTCAACACCCCTCACCAAAAATGGCCCTCCGACCCGGCCGTCTCCTCTTCACCCTCATCGCCCTCTTCACCATAACCGGCCCCTACATCGCCGACTGGAACACCACCCACGTCTACAACCCCTCCTGGCCCCCCCACGCAAAATTCCACAACGGGCAGACAATGAGCATGGGACTATACCTCGGGCTTGCAATGCTATACTACCTCTACAAACCTCTCTCACTGCCTAAACACATCCAACCACCCTCTTCCTCACCCCCCAAAACCTCAAACTCTCAAACATACGGAGAAGGAATGAAGAAAGGGGATGTGGAGGTGTTAAGGGAGGCGGAAAAGGGGAATTTAATGGTTGTGACGGTGTTGGCGGCTATGTATTGGGTTACGCAGCTTAGTGCTATACTTTATCCGGGCAGTAGGGCGATGGATCCGGAGTTTGGAGATGGGTTTCCGCAGCTTTGGATTGATATGGGGTGTTTTGCGGTTATTGCGTGGGGGAATTGGTTGGAGAGGGGGAGGATTGGGGGGTTGTAGAGTGTAGGGTGATGGGGGGTAGAGGTGGCTGTGAGATGGGGGTGTTTTGATGACGGGATTAATGCGGAGCGTTGGATGGATGTGCTGAGGGGATAGATAGTCTGGCAAACTACTGTATGATGTTAAATTGGAAGTTTTGGATGGGATGATGAAAAGATGGGTTGTGGGTTGTAAGATTGGTAGAAGGACTTTGTTGATATTTATATGGGTAAGCGAGGGAGTTGTGATGTTTATCTTGGAAAAGCTCGCTAAGGGTGGTGGAGAATTATCAAGAAGAGACACAAGAGAGGGTGATGTTTAAAAGTTGGAGCTCTTTTGGTTTTAGCTCATAGTTTTCTTACTGTAACTCTTTTCATGTACGAGTACCTTCGTACGAATTATTCAGAGTAAACTCATCAAAATCACAGTGCAAACAGGCACTCAGGGAAGTTGATTTCAAATGCACAATATCAATATCAATATTTTAATGAAAACTTCGCCAAGTGAATCAAGTGCATTGATGATGTCAATAAAAAACGTTCTAAGGAAAGAAAGCTAGGCTACTTACAGTACCTAAATTTACCTCTCCAGCTCCCACCAAATCTGTCCTCAAATGGGCTCCACCCAGTCAGCACGCGTTGATTGGTTGTCAAACAACCGTCTTTCCACCAACCACTCTTGGCTTCTGAAGCTAGAGTACCCCAAAGAACCAGACAAAATCCCACGCGCAACCAAAATTTGGTGAATAGCAAACATCAAACACACCTACCTACCTACGACTTGTCGTATTCAATTACGGTCTCGTCCTTTTTCTTCCCCTCCCACCCCAACAACCAAGACACCAACTTCTCTACTTGCGACCTATACAATACCGGCAAGATGGGCCTCAGTCCGCAAATGTATGTCTTATGTCTTGCGCCCCCCGGATCTTGCGTGGAGTGTTGGAGCTGGAGAGGAAGGGAGAAGACTAATGTGTGTATCGCAATAGTACCAACTTGATCATCATCCTTGGGATGATGCAAGTCTCGAAAAGAATTCCGTTGGATGATCCAGATACCCTCAATATGGTGCGAGCTGGGTACTTGCTGTCAAACGTTATTATCATTTCAGTCTACCTCTACACCCACTACCTGATCAACAAGAAGAAGGGTGTGTTATTCCCCCTGGCCAATAATAGATATTTCTGCTGTGAGAGAATTATAGCTGATCAAGCACAGACATGACAACCCTTAAATACGTCGAACCCCCTCAAATGGGCTCCACCGACGAACCCAAACTCATCACCACCACCGTCCACAAATACGACGTTGACCAAATGAAAGCCCTCTACAAGGCCCAAATGATGGGTGTAGGAATGATGGCCGTCATGCACTTGTACTTCAAGTACACCAACCCACTCCTCATCCAATCCATCATCCCACTCAAGGGCGCATTCGAGGGCAACGAGGTGGCCATCCACTTGTTTGGTAAGCCCGCGATTGGCGAGATGAAGCGTCCGTTCAAGGCTGCGGCTGGATTCATGAGTGCGCTGCAAGGAAATGCGGCGCCTACTCAGGACAAGAAGACGATTGAGGCGGCGGAGAAGGCTGGAAGAGGGGGTGTCAAGGATGAGTAGATGGGGTATGCATTGCGGGTCATTAGTTAGGGGATATATTTGGGGCTGGGAGGAATGGATATTTGGGTGGTAGACGAGATAATGAATCTTCGTTGTATCAATACTTTGTTACTGTAGACATTGTGATGCTGTGGGAGGAATAATTTCACGCTTTTCAATGAACTATCTATGTTCTCTAATACTGCAGGTGAATCTGTTTTCGGGGAGTTATATATGCTGGTGCCGGGGGCTTTTGGACTTCATTGTACGAGTGTTTCTGTCTTTCCCCTGGACTCGGAGGGCCGAGGCTGCCGAAGTCATCCTCGCCACTTCAGCCTCGTCATAGAATCACTGCAACACCACAAAATACAGAGTACTTGTACTCTGCAACCACCCACTAACAACACAAACAAAAATGGATGAGCCGTCTACTCCTCCCGCGCGCCGAGCTACCCGCTCAACAGGAGCAAAATCAGTCTCCCCACCAACATACGACGTCAAACGAAGAATAGTCCGTACACCCCTCTCTCCCCTCTCCCCTCACACCACTAACACCACCGTACAGGAAGAAAACCGCCTCAAAGCAAAAGCACTCCGCGAGCGTTCTCTCGCCCTCGAAGCATCCTCCTCCAAGACTCAATTTACATCTCTGAAACGCCCACACACCTCAATATCCACCGACACCATCCCGTCCAGCTCCCGCAATGCGACCGCAACACTGGACGCCATCCAGCCGGTATCCCGGAAATTCAAGAGCTATGTCGACCACGACTTCTCCAAGATGACAGATACCCGCGGTGGATTCCTGACTGCGGAGGATGATCCATATAACAAGACCATGCACGCGCCTTCAAATGGGAAAGAGGAGGGAAAGCCGGCGCATATGACGCTCAAAGAATGGAAGCGACATGAGTTATTGAAGGAGTTGCGACGGACGAAGAGTGGACCGTTTGAGCCGGGGATTAGTAGGGATAGTGGGGCGAAATGTAGGGAGTGTGCGAGTCTGGAGATTGACTGGGTGTGGAAGGAGGTGTTTGATTGTTTGGTTTGTGGGGGGTGTAAGGAGAAGTATCCGGAGAAGTATAGTTTACTTACCAAGACGGAGGCGAGGGATGATTATCTTTTGACGGATCGTATGTCTTCCCCATGTCCCCTATACCCCATACTCAAATCAAAATCAAAATCAACCTCAAAATCTAAAGTAAGATACTAACAAAACCCCCCCCCCAGCCGAACTAAAAGACCCCACCCTCCTCCCCCACCTCGCAAAGCCCAATCCGCACAAATCCCACTGGCACGACATGATGCTCTACCTGCGGTACCAAGTCGAAGCCTACGCCTTCTCGGCGCAAAAATGGGGCTCACCCGAAGCCCTCGACGCGGAATTCGAGAAGCGGGAGCTCGACAAGAAAGTACGGAAGGAGGCGAAATTCAAGCAGAAGCTCAAGGAGTTGAAGAAGAAGACACGGACGGATGCGTACCGAAGGAACTTGGAGGAGAAGGGGGGCGGGGCCCAGAATTTCGGCGATGTCCTGAAGGGGGGGAAGCATGAACATGTTTGGGGACGGGTGGTGGAGGATGTGAAGACTTGTACGGAGTGTGGGATGGAGGTTGAGGAGTTGGAGTTTTGAGGGGGGTTAATACCCTCGTATAGTATTGTTTTTTTTGGGGGGGGTTGTATGATTTCTAGGGCTTTGATAGGACTTAGCGGTTTATTTATGGAATAAGCGGGTTTGGGAGTTGTGTGAGAGGTCGGGAGTTGACGATATTTGATCTTGCGTCTTACTTGTACAGACAGTACGTTGCCAAACCAGCGAATCTCACATGCAGGTGGAATACGTAGCTATATACTGCATCTATATATAAATATGTACAAACCATAATCCAAGAGAACAACAGAAAACACTCCTTCCAGCTCCCTGGTATACCACCCAATTAACACCTCCTTGAGTCCTTCCCCTCGCTTTCTCGCTTAAATTGAAAGTTCACTTGGTACACACAAGGTATAGATAGTATAGACAGTACCTACCCAGGCACTGTACAAATTCACTCATGCCCCCACTCCAACTCCAGCTCCAACAAACCTCCTAGACTCCTAGTGCCCCCCTTTAGACCCGTTATATATCCTACTATCTAGAATTATATAGTGATCTCCTCCCTCAAACCCCTCACATAGGTACACACTAACACTCTCACCACCCAAACCCCCTTGCTCAAACTCCATCCCTAAAATCCCATCCTCAAACCCCACGAAACCCCATCCCAAAACCTCATATAATACATACATTCCAACACCCCTCCCCCTCCCAACCCACAATCACAAAAAACCAAAAAAGGAAGGTTCAAAAAAGAAAAAAGAAAAAAGGTAAAAAATAGGATCTCCTGTAATAATCTGCTCCCATATTATATCATATCATATCATATCGTACAATACACTACCTACATACATATATAAATATATATACCTAATATTTCTGCCCCCTCCTCCCTCCCCTAATGCAAATGCAAATGCCTAACGACAAGACGTACATAGCAAATCCCAAAAAAAGAAAGAAAGAAGAAAAAAAACGAAGAAAAAAAAAAGAAAAAGTAATACAGAAAGAAGAAAAGAAAAGCTGAAGTAGTAAGTAATTTGGGTATTTTTCTCTCGCATGTTCGTTGGAAACACCCCCTTTCTCCCCTCATCATCGCAAACCCAACGAAGAAAAAAAAAGACAAATCACACACACCAAAAAAAAAGGAATCCAAGATATCATTCTTTCCTTGTCCTTGTCCTTGTCCCAAGGGGGGTTGTCTGTCCACTTGACTTGACTTGACTTGAATGTTGACATCATTCCATCCCATCCCATCCATACTCATCCCATCATATCCACCCATTAATGATCAAGAATCTGACCACCGATCGGATCCCTCATCCCCTCTCGTACCCAACCCCTTTTCATTCCATTCCATTCCATTCCATTAATCATATCCTCATACCATCACCCATACCATCAATTACGGCTATCGCCTCACCTGGCAAAAACCTTCACCACCCCATCACCCCCAGCACTGACCACCCACCGGCCATCCTGACTCCAAACCACCGAACAAACCCCTTCCCCTCTCATTAACCTGTGACTAGTAATCTCCTGCGTACAACTCCGCTTCTCCAGACTCCAGAAGCGTAGACTGGCATCATGACCAGCGGACACGAGTTCCCTTCCATCAGGGGAGAGGGAAAGGGATGAGATGGCTGCCGGGTGGGCGAGCATGTTGTATGTGCATTGTCCTGGGAGATTTTGGTCAGTGGAAAGTCCAGGGATAGGGTAGTGCGACGATGGTGGTGATGAGTTCCGGGTTATTTTAGTAGAGGGTAACTTACCACTATTCGCGTCGTAGAAGCGAATATACCGGTCCTCATGTCCACTGATGATAATTCCTTCCACGCCACCACTGGATCCTGTGGCTCCTCCTACAACTCCATCCTCTTCCGAAAGTGCTCTTCCAGAGTCGAAGCTTAATGATCCATCCAGTCCGTTGGTAGTTGCAACAATAGCATTTACTCCACTCCCATCAGTGCCATTATAAGTTTCCAGACTGGCCATTGATGCAACTTCCTCTCCAGTTCGAGTATCGTAAACCAGAACTGCGGCATCAGAGTATGATACCACAAAAGCATCGCTGGAAGCTGATAGCGGCGTGATGCATGTTGGCGAAGCTTTACTGTTCGCTCTCTCGATGGAATGAATGAGCGTGTAGTTGAACGGCGAGTTGGATGCAACACTAGGTTGAGGTGAGGATAGGAAAGCTGATCCAGAGGACATGGAATTTCCACGAACGCGACCTCCTCTGCGGCCGCTTCCTGCTTGTGGTGACACCAACTGAGGTGGTGCGCTGACAGACCATACTTTGACCACCCCATCTGCAGCTCCAGTTGCCAAGATAATACGATCAGGACCACCATATTGATTGTTTGGTCCAAATATTGATCCTGAAGTACCCGGCAACACGCATACAGTCCAAACGGCATCAGTATGGCCGTCGAGCGTTGCTTTTGGATCCACTCTACCTCGCTCCCATACTCGTACAGTTGCATCTTGACCACCAGAAAATATCCAACCATCACCCTGTGCTCGACCACCACTAGAGAAATTCTGAGAAGGTGACCATGATGTCAAACACATCACAGCTCCAGTATGACCGCGGTGTGTAAAGTAACTCTGGATGTCCAGGTCACTTAGGGCCGCATGCATCCCTGGTTGAGTGTCATAGCGAGCTGGTATAATCCATCGCTTGATCGTCCCGTCGTCTCCCGCCGTGCATATCTCGGGTTCACCAGGGCTTCCGCCACCACTAAAAATCACGGATCTTACTGCATCTAAATGCCCGCGTAAACCAAACCTCACCCTGAAGCTACCACCATCCGCCTTTTGGGCCGGGTTCAGGGATAATTCAGGATCTGCACTTTTCCGTCTAGACATTGAACCTTTCCTCCGATGTGAACCTGGCGTGCGATTGGGTGATTTGGGTGTATCTTGAGCAATGGGAAATAAATCTGTGTCGGGTCTTTGTGGAGTAGGTTTAACTTCCTCTGGAAACTGTGCCGATTCATTGAAATCCCAACCGTCGGCTTCGGTGGGAGGTTCTTTCTCCGCTGGTTCTACAGTATCAACTGCTCTTCCATAGGAATCAAATGTGTGATTAATCTTTGTGACTGGCTCTTCTTGGGGCTGTTCAGCGACTTGAAATGTCGATGACCATTCTTGGGGTTGCGAAGGCTGAGGTAGTGGTTGTTGGTCTGCCAGTGATCGAGACATCGGTACTGGTTCTGGATTTCTCACAGCCAGACTCGAGGTCAATGGTACTGGTGGTGGGTTTGGAGTTGGAGTAGGACGAACCATATTTGGCTCGCGCATACTCTTTTGTCGGGGTTGCTGTTGGTAAATATCTTCCAAACTTTGTTGCCCAGGTGCAGGACCAAATGATGGTGGTTGAAGAAATATCTCCTCTTGTGGAAGAGCTTCTCGCGGAGGCAATGGATTCGATGGGGAAACCATCAGGTAGGTGAGCTCCCGCTCTGTTTTGTCCATGAAACCTTTGACATTTCCCCTATCAGGGTCGTCTTCTGCCACATCTAATTCTCCTTCAGGTGCACCTTCGACTTCGCCATCCACTACTAGGAAAGAGTTGTGAGGTTTGACTTGAGTGGCTTCACACATGTATTAGCCGAATTCTGGAGACCCCCAATAAACATAGACTTACGTCTCTTTTTGAAATCAACACTCTCCCGCTCTTTTTGATCGCGTATAGATTCGATATTAACATCCTTGCCCGCTTTGAGTGCCTTGACCTGCGTATCTCTCTCCTTCAAGGCTTTCTCCAACATGCTCACATATTTTTTCAGCGATTTGTTAGAGCTGTCCGCTTTACGTGTAGTTCCTTCCAAGCGCGCAATTCGGCCCTTCATCTCCTGCCTCTCAATCTCCCAGGCATTTCGGTCTCGCTCATGTCGATGCCATTCAGTTTGGAGGAAGCGCATTACACCTAGTGAACTGTCAGCACTACCCCATATATTTTTACTACTCCAGCTCTCCAAACGCACCTTGTAATGTGTACTCGGTGCCCTGGGGTTGTTGGTTCGCCTGCTGCTGTGCAGCATCTGCTGGTCCATTGCCGCCATTTCCACCACTTCCCATTCCCGACAGCTGTTGCCAGGCCATCTTGTAATTCTCCCACAGCTCCTTACGACCCTTCTGCTCCCTCTGTGTGGTGTTCTACCTTCACACCCAATCCCGTCGACCCGATCAGCATTTGTTTTGGGTGGGCGCAACGACGTCAGGGGACAACGAGGCTATCTGCAAGCGCGGAGGCAATTGCTCATAGTTGGCGCGATAGTTATACCAGATGGGGGAGGACGAGAACAAGTTGCTACAGCTTCAACAATATTCGGGGATTCTTTTGCATAAAAGTTGAGTCGATGTCGCGTGGGATGGAGTGAAATGGCTTCCCCATGTAGATCCAACTTGTGAGCTTTCTAAGTGTCCCCCCAGTGGCGGCAACTAAGGCCGCAAGGCAGGAGTTTTATATCCCGCTGCTTTTAATCATCCAACACGCCTCGGTCAGTGAATCAAAAGATAAGAAAGTTTGGTCATGTTTTCAGACAGACTTGAGTGGTTGACCAATAATAAGAATTGTTCCTGCAGGAAATCTGCATGGTTTGGAGGACAGCTTGCGATAACAATAGGTCTTGCCCCATACCTTACGTATCACTCCATCACCATCCGAACACTATGGCCAAATTATGTTATTCAAATGATCCAAATATCATTTTTGTGTTTTACAATCAATGTTTCATAGCCTTAGTCAAGGGGAGAAGATTTCGAATATCACAAAAGTCCTCTTATGGTCTTTGGCGACTTGGTCAACCCCGAAAGCTTCCACATAGCCCTTCTACAATCATGATCTTCCCCACCTCCACAAGTTTATCCATTATTTAGGCGATGCAAATCATGAGCATCAATACCAAATTGGGCGACTATTCCAAGTCACTCTGCATTTTGCCATGTTGGGGGTCCTCCTTGGGCTTCATTGAGCCTCCTTGACTTTGCTTTGGTTGCGATCCAGATTTCCAGCTATGCCTTAGGTTACTGCGAGAACCTGCGGAATTTCGTGGTAATAAGTACCAAAACGAAACCGAGCAAATGGGACCTTGGTTCTGGGTCTCCTGTTCGACACACTTGCCCATGGTGATATATCTCACTTGGGTTGACCGTGTGCTTGGGTGCTGCGGTCAAGTCAGAGATCATTTTCCTCTTGAGAAGTTCATCAAGAATATTCATCCTCGTCCTCATCAAACTCCTCTCTCAAATCCCCATACAAGACCTCACATACACCTCCAAGCGGTACATCCATAACCGCATCAGTCCCCTGACTCCACAGTGCCTGCCAGTCTTTGATACTATGATCCCCCCTATCCCGCCTCTTATTGCTCGGCGGAAGTTTACTCCCCTTTCCATCTAGCGTTGCAATATTCGCCGCATCATCAATAATAGTTTCAATCGAGGATAGCGGCAGCGTCAAGTAACCCGTATTGTAGGACGCCAATGCCACGTAGATGTACACCAGGAGCATCACAAGAAACGAGGGCAACGCGAGAGACCACCAGCGATTGGGGTAGTAGTAGATTCCCAAGGCGTGCAGAAAGGGCGATGGCAGGTACGACCAGAGCAGGTACATGAGGAAGGTGAGCGAGGAGAAGAGGTATAGGACGAAGCCATAATATTCGTAGGTTGGAACTTTGGGGGATGCGCGAGGGACGGGTTCGAGCTCATCGGCCGAAGTGTCTGGTGTGGTTGGTCTTGAGGGTCGAAGAAGAGATGTCAATGAGGGCGAGGGAGGAAGTGGTGTGGGGGGCCGATTGTAGAAGGGCGGCGCAAAGAAGTTGTGCTGCTGCTGATGCTGTGGCGGGGGAGAAGGTGATGAGCTGGATGNCAATGAGGGCGAGGGAGGAAGTGGTGTGGGGGGCCGATTGTAGAAGGGCGGCGCAAAGAAGTTGTGCTGCTGCTGATGCTGTGGCGGGGGAGAAGGTGATGAGCTGGATGAAGAATCGCCGCGATAATGCGATTGAAAGACGGCATCGTCATCATCGTCTGAGGTTGACATGGTGGTTGACGTGGTTGTATGTGAATGCTGAAATCTGGATGGGGATAACTTGGGTGAAGCTATCGCGAGATCTTATCGTATACCTTGCTAGCGTCAGCTGCTAGCGTAAGGTCCAGACGGATAAGCCAATGCCAGACCACTCTCGAGCCACTTCACCTTGCTGTTTTCTTTGGGGTTCCTTCTTCATCGGTTCAATTGCATCACATCATGACCTCAACTGTCTCAATTGGCTCAACGGATGACCAGATCCCCAGTGCCTAAGCAGGTATTGTAAGGCTAAGCAATATATTGCAAGTCCAAAATGTGCCGGTTCATCCCACCAAAATCTCTTTCCTCCTTCCGATTCTTTTTCTTTTCGCCGTACCTTAATACCAAAGACTCATTTCAGTGCTCATGGCTGAGAGTTTGCGCAATCGGAATGCAAGAAAGGTTTCAGCCACGAGCTTGGTCATTTCGTGTCTTCTGCAACTTTGATCATGAGTTACTTACCGCTGAAGTCACACAATCATCTAACTACATAAGAATACGACAGTTCCCTTTGGGCAAGATAAAGCTGAAGGAAACATATAATTTCTTCACAACCATATCCTGGAATACTGCATTGCGTTCTCGAGAAGGCAAACACTTGCTGCCCAGATTTCTCAAATCAGAGATCTCCCATCATTCTATATCTTCTTGCTTTTCCTTTCGTCCTCCACCATGACCACACCACCCTCTGATCAGCACACACTCCTTTGGAAACTCCCTCTAGTATCAATCCAAGATCTTCCCCCTCTCCCCCAAAATATTACCAGACACTTCATCTCCACGCCCAATGGCAAACTAGAAATCCTCTCCGCCCTGCCCCCCTCGTCTACTCATTCACAATCCAAAGCCCTCCTTTTCCTCCACGGCGGCTTCGGTCGCGCTACAGTCTGGCTTCCTTACATATCCTACTTCTCCTCCCGCGGCTTTCGCTGTTACGCACTCTCCCTTCGCGGTCATGGAGCAAGTTGGAAACCGGGATTCTTCCATATGGTTTGGAGAACGGGGAAGCGTGATATGGCGGAAGATCTAGGGTACGGGCTTACTTGGGTTTCGGCTTCCGAAGCTGCCATGAGAAGAAATGGGTTTGAGGAAGAAGACTTGGTATTGATTGGACATAGTGCAGGAGGTGGTTTGTCGCAGCAGTTTTTGAATGAGGGACTTGGGACGGTTGGGGGATTGGTTATTATGGCGGGTGTTCCTTGTTTTGGATCGTAAGAATTCCATTTTGTTGAGGTACTATAGTATTATTTGGAAAGACTGATAGATGGCAGATTGAGCGTTTACGCTGCATGGTTCACATTAGAGTAAGTTCTCTCCCCTGACCTTCTGGTTCTATGTATAAATGAATACTGATACAAAACCCAGTCCGTGGTTCCCACTCCGCTACTTCTTCAGAGATTTCCTACATCCCCGCTCACCATTGTCATCCACAACCCTCGTCCACCGAGCATTCTTCTCCCCAGAGTATCCGGTTGATAAAGTCCAAACTTTCTCACAGGGCCTCGCCGAGTATGAGAGCATGCTTTGGCCAATGGGTACGATGTTCTCATTCGCAAACCCCACACATATCTTGAAAAATATTCTCGGCTCCAACAAGAATCAAAACCAAAGGAAACTCCTAATTATAGCCGGCGAGAAAGATGCCCTAGTCACTCTCCCCATCATGCAGAGACTAGCGAGTTTATACCAGAAAGCTGCGCGGAAATTGGTTGGTGTTTCTTCGCCGCAAGGGAAAGAGAAGGAGAAGGGGAAGGAGGGGGAGGTGATGAATGGAGAAGAGATCGTGGGACTTGAGATTGTTAAGAAATCCGGTCACCATATACAGAATGATTTATACTGGGAGGATGGCGCGAAGAAGATTCTGGGGTTTGTGGAACAGCTTTGAGCACTTTTTGTATAGCGTATAGTGTTTTATGGTGATTCGGAAATCTCCTCTCCCGATATACGAAGTATGGTATCCTATACATCAATCCTTGGTATTCTGACCTGCTTGTGGTGGATATTTGGTATATAAACTTGTTACTCTGCAGCGATAGCTTCTATCCATCCAGGTACACAACGAGTCGAAACTCGCATACCTCCGTATAAATTCGGGATATTCCCACTCCTCCTTAATCCACAGTAAAATACCCCTACGAAAGCATGGTAGTACTCTTTATTAGAGTAGTAGACCTATATAATTAACTCTCTAAAACAAGCCCTGCCGCCCCTAAAATATCGCCTGTCGCACCGATATCGTAGTAGCTCTAGTCCAAAAAGGGTATAAAAGGCGACTATAATAGCCCAAATAAGGTTTCCTTAGTATAGTAATCTATTATAATATACTATAACTGTTTTATAGTATATTACGTAAATAATACCTCGGCTACTATATCGGGTATTTAGAATAGATAAATATTTCGGTAGGTTATAACTAATATCCTTATTCCTACTATTTATTACGTAGTATTTAGATAGATAGTATAATTCTTATAATAAATTATAAAAGTTAAGCTAGGCTCTATCTATATATATTCTCTATACCTTTCCCTACTCCCCCGAAATAATTATATATAAAAAACAAAACCTACTATCTATATAGTACTCTAGTATATAACCGTTCGTAGTATATATCTAGAACCCCTAGAACTCCCCTTTTCCTACTAGCTCTCTAAAGTTCTAGGACTTAATAGTTCGTAGTAAAGGTCCTTCCTTACTTTATAATTATCTAGGAAGTAAGAGTTCGCGCTATTAATCTAGTATGTCACGAATCACGTGCTCACGTGATACTTGTCATAATAAGAGGCGCAACCATCGGCAGGCACACCCAGGTTTCTTATAGCAGAAAGGGATCCTTAGACCAGCTAAGCGATCCAGGGATTTTCATTGATTGGAAATGTCACGTGACCTGGATCTTTTGGATCGTAATGATCCACGATCCAGGAGCGTAGATCTGCATGATCCAGTACGATCCACGAACATGAAAGGATCCATATAAGACTGGCACGTCTGCCATTAGATAGGAGCTTCGTGCTCAACTTAGTTATCAATCTTATCATATTAGTTTGA